AAATAAAATGTTTTAAGAGCACTTTTCAGTGGAGTCCGTGCCCGAATTTAAGTTATAGTTTACTGCTGGCGAAATTAAAAGGTCAGTACAATGTTCATATAACTTTTCAAATATTGGCGTTGAGAAACTATTTAATACTTTTGTATTTTTGTATTGAGATAATAAAATAATTTTCACATTTAGTATTATTTTACAAGAAAGGCACTTTATTTTAACGATTGTATGATATTTGACAACTGTCAACTAACTTAAAACTAAATTCAGCCCGTGACTAAAAATATGTTGCTAACTTCAGCCCGTGACTAAAGCGCCATAAAGTCACAACTTTTCAATGTGTATTTAAAAGGTCACGTAGTGTCATGGAAACATGTACGATAAAGGGCGTTTTAAAGGTGGGAGTATAAAAAATTATAAAGAAATTTGGTTCAATATAATTATTAGTTCTAAGTAGAACTAATAATTATATTGAACCAAATTTCTTTATAATTTTTTATACTCCCACCTTTAAAACGCCCTTTATAGTACTACAACACTTATTATTTCGTAACTTTTACTTCAATGTATCCTTTTTTCGGATACTTCGCACTTCGCACACTCGTTAAATAGGTATAAGGAATCCGAATAGATTTCTGGTAATATATTCTCTATATATACAGGGTGTTTCATAATATATGCGCAGGACTTCAGGGTGTGATAACTCATCCAAAAAGATGAAAAAAGTCGCTATCAACTTACGCTCTAAAATGCACAATTTTCGAGATACAGGGTGTTGAAATTTTGGAAAAAATTCGTTTTTTTCGAATATCTCCGGAACTGTTTATCGTACAAAAAACAGCTTTTGTAAGCATTTTCTACCCAAAATAAGCTATGTTTTGTGCCAGAAAAAAAAATTTATTCCTCATAATTGGTGGAGATTTTGAAGGGGTAGCGGGTGTTTTTCCCCTCAACTTCTACGCCCCTGAAAAATGTACGGTTTTTGAGAGGCCTATTCGAACCGCCAATGTTTAATAATTTTTTTTTACTAATTAAACAAAATTTATTTTAACGTTAGAACAAGTAACAATACCAAACCATAATTGCAAAATAAAAAATGATTCAAAATCATTTTTTATTTTTTTTGTAATTTTGCAATTATCGTTCGGTTTTGTTACTTTTTTTAACGTTAAAATAAATTTTGTTTAATTAGTAATAAATTTTTTTTTTCAAAAAATTTACCATGTTTTTAAACATAAAAGTTGATTTTTCTCGAAAACGGTCAACTTTAGAGCTTATGACCAAGAGTACCTTTATTATGTAGAAAATATTGGCGGTTCGAATGGGCTTCTCAAAACCGTACTTTTTTTTTAGGGGCGTTCAAGTTGAGGAGAAAAACACCCGCTACCCCTTCAAAATCTCCACCAATTATTAGTAAAAAAAAATTTTTTCTGGCACAAAACATAGCTCATTATAAGTAGAAAATGCTTACAAAAGGTGTTTTTTGTACGACAAACGGTTCCAGAGATAATCGAAAAAAACAATTTTTTTTTTAAATTTAAACACCCTGTATCTCGAAAATTGTGCATTTTAGAGGGCAAGTTAATAGCGACTTTTTTCATCTTTTTGGATGAGCTATCACATCCTAAAGTCCTGCGCATATATTATGAAACACCCTGTATATATACTCTGGGCAGTTGTTACGAATTAGAATAAACATGTTGCAGACGCTGAAGTTAGTTGAACTTGATGCATATTGTGGGAATTTTTTTGATTGACTGCCTGAAATCATTTAACTTTTTTAACGAAATATTTGCTAAACATTATACATATTACCTTTACAAAACTTTCGGTAAAATATTTTCCTTTGTTAAAATAATTTTAAACCCTGTTTTTCTACAAAAAATAATGTTAAAATTTTACAAAATAAAATCAACATACAAACTCATGTTAACAAATATGATTTTTATAACAGTGTATGACTTGCAACAAAACTTTCCTTGATTAAAATATCAGATTTTTTGATAAGTGGACAAAAGTTCATGAAGGGAAGCTGCAAAAGCTTAAGGAATCACAAACCGCGAAATTAGCGAAAGTTAAATTAATAGCTTCAATCAAGAATTACGGCACAGCTGGGTAATGGTGCCTTCTCCACTCCAGTTTGTTTAACGAGACCCGGCCCTTCAAAACTTAACCGACTATGATTGAGAAGTTTTTCCTTTGTACTGTCGATTAAGGAATTTATCTTCGGGAAAAGGGAAATTGACTGTTGCGGCTATAGGATAATGACCGGGTCAAGAAGGGACCTACAAATAATAGAGAACAATTAAGAAAATTAAGCCTTTGTTTCATTTCCCTCCAGAGAAGTGTATTAGTAGTGATCCAGAACAAAGACGTAATTTTTTACCCATACGTCATCATTGCGGAATGACAGTAAAATAAGGAATCAACATAAATCAACATAAATCAACAATTTTTTCGGTTTTATGCGAATGCCATCGCCCGGAGTCTATCACTTTTATACGCGCGTAATTATAGTGTAACTCGCATGAATATTAAAGTGGTACCCACGCATAAAAAGTACTTGTTTTCCTTACAAAGATGTGAGCAAAACATCGAGGAAGCATTGCATAAAATGCCACAAGTTTTTTGCAATAGAATTGTATACTAAAAAATATTTTGTTCAATGTGTGGCCTTAGGACAGCAGTTTATGAATTTAGCGTCATTTATATATCATCCAGTCAACCCCGTTCCGAACGTTCGCACCCCAAGGCGAAAATATGCCATTACGCGCTTTGATTTATCGGCAACGATTGTGCACGCTAACCGTTCTTAATTGGGATTCTACACAACTGATATTGACAATGCTGGTTTAGGGCTAAATAATTTTGCTAAAACACGAAAGTGACACAAGGATGTCATGTTCAAATAGATTTATTCTCTTCATAGAAGGTCAGGACTTGGTCTAGGAAGATAAGATCTTTCTTAATATTGCAAAATATGTTTGTTCAATGGCCTAACAAAGAAAAATACAATTTTTTGGACAAAAATCGGTTTATTTATTTAAAATACTCTCCATCGCGTTGAATACACTTGGCAAAGGGATTTTTAAGTATTTTGATGCCTTTCGGATATTTGATTTTTTTGTCTCAAACTAGGCTTTAGTTTAGTTTTCCATTAGACTTTATTAATTTGAGTATACAAATTTTTCATTGGGACCAGATCTGGCAAATATGGTGGATACAGCAACAATTCCCAACCCAATAACTTTTAAGCCACTCTTTTGCTTGAAGGCAATTTTCCCTATAAAAAATCAGTGCTTAATAAAGATACTGTAAAGATTTCTCTTTACCCCAGGTTCGTTTAAAACAAGTTTTATGAAAAATTGATAAATTAAATATTTTGTGGCTTTGGCTCGTGATCGTCTTACCCAAATTTGGACCTCTACGCTGTGTTTACTTACTTGTTTTATTAGATGCATTGCTTTAAGAATGATACGAGGGAGAAATAGGTTTATAAGAAATAAAATACAGTGGCTTAATATACCCCAATTTAATTTACGTTAACTTTTTACAAACAAGCAAGGGGTGGCTCTTAGGAGGGTTCGGCCAGGGAAAAAGAGCCTGAGAAAAAACCCTGGTCGGCTATGAAGTAGCAAAGGAATACGCGGTCAGGCATTGTACTTTAAAAATTACGCAAATTAATGTATTGGCGATATGGCTCGATACTGCATTTAAACAAAGATTTAAAACTGAAGAAATTGGGGTTAGTTAGCCGGGCTAGGCCCAGAATGTAACGAGGTCCCAATATGGGAGGCAACCCGCCTAGTTTAGTTGAAGGGTCGGGGAAAAGCGAAGCAACCCTAGAGAACCTAGGGCAACCTTGTCCCCTCACGGGAGAAAAATATTAGTCCATACAACAAAGGCCCACGCACACAAACAAGGAGTACTCAAAGTTGGAACAATAACGGTCAGCACTCCTGGTTAAGCACCGAGTAATTTCGCAATACATTAATAACTTTGGACTGATCATAAAACAATGCTTAACCACGTTATAGAAAAAGGGTACAAAATGATGGGTTAAGCACAAACAAAATACAAGGTTACATTGGAGCGGTACAAGCATTGAACATAGCAAAGCATTAAAATTATAGTGATAATAATAAAAGCGAGAATAGGGGTGGTAATAGCTAAAAGAAAAGGATTAAAAATAACGTAAAATACAGCTAAACGTAATAGAAAAGGGTAAATATACTCATAATAGCAATAATTATATAATAATAAGCTTAACAATTTGAAAATGCACAATATTACGTTTAGTTAATTTTACTACACATTTAAATAGATTAAATATTTAGAACTAACCTTGTAGAATACACTAATAACACTTTTAACAATGATTTTAGAACAATAATTTACTTTTACAATTTTACCAAAGAAAACGAACTGTACTGCACCGAATTCAAAATGCTTCTGCCGCATCTCTCCTTTTCGAAAACCTTTTTCGTTTACCTCTCAAGGAAATTCCTCCCCCAATCTGCATGCCAGATGTACTCTTCCTTCAGCTTAGCGCGTACCTCTCTTGTTTGTTTGGCAAATTTTCTACCTAAACTTGTAAATTTTACTTGCCTTAAACATAAAGTTTTATAGCTTAATCCTATTTTAAAAGTCCAAAAATAAAATTATAATAACATGTTTTCTAATAAATCTATACAGGGTGTTTCTTTTCGGAACCATTACAATACGAAATTCAATTATATCGTGGTTTTTTAAAACGCAAAAGTTGCTTTACACTGTAAATTATTGAAATTTTGACAGGACTCTAGAAATGAATAGTACTTGTTAAAAATGAAGGCCATGAACTTATTTAACAAACTGGTAAATCAGGATAAATCTGCAAAAGTCTGACAAAATAAGGACCTTTACTTGGAATATAAGTTCTTGTTGAAAACGGCCTTGGTCTTAGATTATAATCCTCCAACATAATATCTGGTCTTGGTATTTAGTGACGTTCTTTTTTGTTACAGTGTGAAGAAACAATGTCTTCGGGAGACATCTGCGTATTTGCTTCAAGAGCTGGTCCAAACACTTGTTGGCATCCAGCGTGTTTCACCTGTTCCATATGCAGAGAACTTCTGGTCGATTTGATATATTTCTACAAAGAAGGAAGACTATATTGTGGAAGACACCATGCTGAAACCATCAAGCCCAGATGCTCTGCATGTGATGAGGTAAGTTTTATTAATTCTTAAAGAATATTTCTGTATGTAAAAACATTTTTTTGTAGATTATTCTTGCCGATGAATGTACTGAAGCAGAGGGCAGAGCGTGGCACATGAAACACTTCGCTTGTTCCGAGTGCGAACGCCAATTAGGGGGTCAAAGATACATAATGAGGGATGGAAGACCCTACTGCCTGCATTGTTTCGACGCCATGTTCGCAGAATACTGCGATTCTTGCGGAGAACCCATTGGTGTGGACCAAGGGCAAATGAGCCACGAGGGGCAGCATTGGCACGCCACTGAGAGCTGTTTTTGCTGCCATACTTGTCATACTAGCTTGCTGGGGAGGCCGTTTTTGCCACGCAGGGGGGCCATATATTGCTCAATCGCCTGCAGTAAAGGTAAGATATCAAAAATTATTTTAGTAATGAAACTAACAGAAAAACATCCACGATTTCACGTGGGGAAGTTATTATGACATCATTTCATGATTTTCTCTTCGCAGTACTGAAGTCATTATGAGTACATATCATAAAGTAGAAAGAAAATTGATCAGGGAAATTTAAAATTAAAACAAACTAGACACTGGGTCTGGCAATATATGGCAAACTTTCTTATTATTAATTTTAGGAGTAAAAGTTGTTATTTATAAAAAGTTCTGCATTTTCTAAAATCTAAAAAAAAATCATTACCTTTATTTGTGACAATATCGAAAACTGTAATTATGAAAAGTTGTTCGGAATGAAAAGCTATGTTTTAATATGCAATTGGGCCATTCCACGCTTAACGGATAGGACAGTTGCCTTGTTTTTATTTACAAAATAATATTGTTCTATTATATTACCAATGTCAAATTTTTATAAATAGTTCTAAACAAAAGCTGTTTAACAAGGTTTTTATTTGGCAAAATTAGGTATAGTGATTGACTGTTTAATTCCTTAAAAATTAATAATTTTGCCAAATAAAAACCTTGTTAAACAGCTTTAGTTTATAGCTATTTATAAAAATTTGACATTGGTAATATAATAGAACAATATTATTTTGTAAATAAAAACAAGGCAACTGTCCTATCCGTTAAGCGTGGAATGGCCCAATTACGTCCTTCCACTTTTTTTTTTACAAATATATCTTTTTTATTTATTACAAACATAATAACTTTTTTCTACTCATATTTCGGAATTTGACCGTTCTAATTTCACTTTTATCTATGGAATGACATATATTCCGTAAAGTGTTACAGAATGGAATATTCTATCATCGGATGACAGAATAAACACTCGTGGCGACATCTCTGTTTTTAATATCTAACAAATTTTAGACCGATCCAACCTCACTTTCTTCCAATTGAATTATTTTTCTATGGTATTTTTTGGAAACGTAGAAAAAGTATAGTCTGAAACACGTTTGGAATTGCATATTCCGCTCTCGTGAAACCGTCAAACTCGCCTTGTATATTGTATTCCACACTTGTTACAGTATATACTATTCCGTTCCATTCAGAAAGTAATAAGCAAATTCTGATGTTTTAACATTTAATGTCAAACATTTCTTGCTATCAACAAATCATTTGTTTGTCAGTGCATCCTAGATTACATGTAACTACAGTTACATTTGCATTGTTATTGTAAACAAAAAAAATGACTTTTTCCATGTAAATGGAAGTAATTGCATATTTGAACGTAGTTTTTAGTTCTGATCAATTTTTTTAATAAAATTTTTCGATATTGTCAAATATAAAGGTACTTTACTCTTGAGTAAGATTCATATTTTTTGACAAACCGCGTATACGACTGAATTTTTTTATTTCTGATGATTGTATTTTAGATTTTAGAACATAAATAAAAAGTTTTCCATATGTTGCCAACTTTGTCTATAGTAATTTAATAAATATTTATTTATTTAATAATTTTATATTGATATGAACTCATTTATTTGAGGATCTAAATCTTTTCATTATTTTGTTAATTTGTCGTTTTTATTTCCGCCAACTTTTTCTCTTTCGTAAGAATTTTAACTGTCTCATTATCTTCTTGCATAAGAGTCTCTTCCCGATGAAAACGAACGATGGATAGAACTTTGTTACCTAAGCTGGCAAACGGATGTTGCAAATTTCGATAAACTTTATTCCTTTTTCCGTAAAGAAAACAAGGTTTTTATCACTTTTGCCAGTTGATGTTCAACAAGGTTAACAAATAATAATGGAAGGAATCATGAGATGAGCTCATATTGACGTCAGTATGACTTCAAAGCGGGAAAATCATAATATGATGTCAATCCTAATACATTGATGCCGTACGGGTGATTTTATAGTGTTAACATTGTTTTAGGCGAACCTCCAACACCGAGCGACAGTTCAGGGCCAAACACGCGACTTCCACGACAAACCAGAAGTCGTCCCAGAAACATTTCGCCAAATGGTAGCAGTAGTCCCCCCTCCATCTCCTCATTCAAGGAGACACGCTCAACCCGGTTCTCCGACGATGTCTTCCCCGTCAAGTCCGCCGCCTCCAGGCTTGCCACATTCTCTTTCGAGATCGCCGTATAACTCTCCTAAAAGTTCGAGGAGAAGTCAGAGATCTCCTAAACCTACGACTTCATTGGCGACTACACCAACGCCATCTGATAACGGTGTCGGTTTCCATAACGAGATTATGGAGGAATGCAAGTTACCCTCCACGCCGAGCGTGAGAGGGTTGGATAGGGTTTTGTTGGAGAGAAACTTGGAGAGACTTTTGACGGAAAGAACTGCTCCGCACTCACCAGATTTGGAGAAGTTATTGTATGCTAGGGATAGAAGTAGGGAGCCTTTACATCTAGCGGATTTGAGTCTGGATGATTGGCAACCTAGTAAAGTAATGAGTGATAATAGTAATGATGATCAGAAATCCGATAATAATAAGTCGGATCATACTTCATCGGATAAAAATTCCTTGGAGGTTCCACCGCATGCCTCGTCAATGCCTGAGTTAGCTCTACAAGGGTCAAGTCAGGAGAGTACGGGGAACTCTACAACACCTGGATCCCCGAGTAAAAAAGGTAAGGGTTTACTCAGCGTCAGATTTCAAGGCGATAACGAAGCTTTCGAAGGTGATGAAGCTGATAATGCTACCATGGAGGCATCGAGAAAATTCCCGCGAAGTAGATCATACGCTGGGAGATCCCGACATGTGGATACTTTAGAACGACGTAATAAACCGCGTAAAACGACGTCTGAATCGCAAATGGCGGGATCATCTCGTAGACACCACGACGATGATGGCGACAGTTACTGCTCTACTTGTTCATCATCATCATCCAGTGATGATCTGGACTATCAACTCCCCCCTAGAAGAGCATACGGAGGCGTGAGAATCTCCTACGTCCCAAATGACGCGTTGGCCATGGCAAGGCGCAGGCAGGCAACTGCACAGCCGAAATCCCCCGTCAAAAAACCTAGCGGAGCTTCGATGGACGACAAAGACAAGAATTGCATCATATCCTGATTGTTCCTTTGTTAAAGTACGTTTGCCAAAAATTGTATGACACGCAATATATTCAGGGTATACTGTTTAGATTCGTATATTGCTTTGTGAGCCTTATCAAGAAACAATACATATTATTAGCATGTATCATTTTTTGTACAATAATTATTATATCACTGTGTTTTCTACATAGCTTTATGTACAAATTAAGGGTTTTCCAACTCGTTATATTATATTGTAGATTGTATACATTTTAGGTATTGTAAAGTATATTTATTAAGATATTAATATAATTATTGTTTTTAATCTTGTATATTGTACATACATTTTTCGTTTTTAATAAATGTATTAAAATAAACACATTACTTTAATTTTTTTAAACAAGAATGTCCTCTAAAATTCAAACTTACCGTCTTGGATAGATGGACCAACCTGAAAATGTATTCATCCAGTAAGTAGGCAACTAACATTACCTTAATCATGTACTTGGGTCAGAATTTCTCAAACGGGCCACCTGAATTAGGTCAAAATTAGTTTTATATTGTAGATACATTTTTTCGATAGTATTTTACATCACTAACACAAATCCTAAAGGATTTTGTAAAAAAAAAAATTTCAATTGACATATTCATGATATTAAAAGTAAAAGTTTTTAGTAATTAAAAAATAAAAAAAATCATTATGGCTAAACTAATTATCCGATTCCAACGATATAATTAGCGTTGGAATCTTGTTTTGACATAGATTCTTTGTTATTTTTTTCAATTGTACAATTTTCATTTAGGTCGATTTTTTTTGTTTTTTTTATAACAAATTCGGAAATAATTGGCTTCTGCGCCAGCTATCGACTCGAAAAAAAAACACATATACTCCAATCATTTTTCGAAATTATGCTGCTGAGAAAAAAAATGGCCCGCAGGTTGACAAAAAGTTATTCGTCCTTTTGTGGCCGCGCGCGGTGTCAGCTCACGCTCCGAACCGTATATGCTGTACGCGCTTGCGACGGGACGTCTTTCGGTGGTCTGGAATGGTACTTTTCTAATTAAAATTAATTTGTGACCTTAATAATTGACTTGGAGCCTTGTTTTTTTGTATTTTATTTAAAAATAAATAAGCTTTATACTGATATAAACAAAAATAATTTGCATTCATTATGTTTTGTTTTATAAGGCGCCAAACTAAAAATTACATTTTTCTTGGTACTCACGTGGATTATCTGTCAAATTGTCTACTCCTTGATTTAGTTTGTAACTTTCTTTTAAAAACTAAAGATATATTTTAATAATTTTCTTAAAGTGACTAAATCAAAATATTTAATTTATTCTATATTTAGTTCGGTCACACAAAATAAGTAATATCTAATAATAAAAAAGAAATGCTTATCGAGTAAGTTTACAGAGACCCGTAAACTCACAAATTACGACGTCCCAACATTTTTTTGACTGGGCTAAGAATTTTTTTTAAAAAGTTTCATTTAATTTCTGCACTACAGCCGAATACGAAACCAGCAAAAAAAATTAAAATCTCGTCTCTCAAAAGCCATCCCGATTCAAAATACAAGAAATTATCATTCATTTCAACCAGCCGCAAAACCGAAACATGTCTTTTGTAAGATTATTTCGTCCATCGACGAAAGCAATTTGTACAAAATTGAAATGTAAAATATTATTCAGAAGTCAAATTAAATTATTATTTTCGTACTATTTTTTTTATTTTTAACCATCATGGTTAAATCATGGATGTAATATTGATATACTGTCTTTTTAAAATCGAGAAAGTGTAACTTTTTCTGCTGTCCAGGCAGGCAATACTGTCACTTTTCCTGTCTAGATTTTAGATTAAAACAATATTTTCTTTGCCGTTTAGGCGCTCTGTTGCTTATAATATATTATATAATAATATATATATAAACAAAATAAAAATATTTTATAATTTAAACTTATGTAATAATGTATGACCGAGCTCCTTATAGAAAAAAGAACACAAATACGTTTATTAGTAGGTAGGTACAGATTTTTGTTTACATCACGAAAAAAGCAGAATTTTTATTTTACCACAAAGTGTTGGTTATAAAAAAATGTTAATATTTAAGTTTGGCGCCATTTAAAACAAAATATAATGCACATAAAATGTTTTTGTTTTTATCACAATAAACTCCATTTATTTCTTAATAAATCAACAACCAAAACAAGACTCTGAGATTATTAATACAGGCGAAATTTTTATTTTACCAAAAAGTGTACTTTAAAAATTTATTTCTTTAGTTTGGCGCTACACCTATAAAAATACTATGGGCATAAAATATTTTTGACTTCCACACAGCAAAGCCAATCAATTTCTTAATAAAACAAACAAAAACCACAAGGCTTTACATTTATTTATAAGGGCAGAATAATTTTTTAAAATGTGTAATTAATAAAATATAATGAGCGAAAATTATTTTTGTATATACCAATATAAAGCCAATAATAATAAGTCAATTATTACGGTCACAAATTAATTTTGATTAGAAAAGTAGGTACCATTCCAGACCACCGTAAGACGTCGCGTCACAAGCGCGTACAGCGTACACGGTTCGGAGCGTGAGCGGCCACCGCGGTGCACCCACAAAAGGACGAATAACTTTTTGTCAACTTGCGGGCCATTTTTTTTCTCAGCAGCATAATTTCGAGAAATGATTGGAGTATATGTGTTTTTTTTTTCGAGTCGATAGCTGGCGCAGAAGCCAATTATTTCCGAATTTGGTATAAAAAAAAACAAAAAAAAATCGACCTAAATGAAAATTGGACAATTGAAAAAAATAACAAAGAATCTATGTCAAAACAAGATTCCAACGCTAGTTATATCGTTGGAATCGGATAATTAGTTCAGCCATAATGAATTTTTTTATTTTTTAATTATTAAAAACTTTGACTTTTACGATCATGAATATGTCAATTGAAATTTTTTTTTACAAAATCCTTTAGGATTTGTGTTAGTGATGTAAAATACTATCGAAAAAATGTATCTACAAACAAAAACTAATTTTGACCTAATTCAGGTGGCCCGTTTGAGAAATTCTGACCCACTTATAATATTGACTGCATAGGTAAATTGAGGCAATAATTAATAATAATTATTATTAAAAAACTCATTTTTTATAAAACTTTTACTCATCAACTTTCACAACTTTTTTCTTTTTTTTCTTAATCTTTTTGGATTCTTCTGTGCTCACTGATTTCCTTTTTTGTTTCTTAACTTTTTCAATTTCTTCAGATACTGTTTCCATGTTATTAAACAATTCCTCATATTCTTGATCAATTTCTTTATTTGTCTCTGCATTTAACTCTTCTTCTTTAGGCTCTTCCTTAACAATTGGCTTCATCAACAATCTTGTAAGACTTTGTTTTAGATAAACCTACCAAAATAATAATGAAACAATATATTTCTGCAAGTTTTGATGATTTTACCTTATTTAACAAAGCTTTTGTTTCCATATTGTGTATCCTTAAATGCCTGTCCAAACTTGTAGAAGCCACTACAGGTTCATTTGGATCACACTGTATACTGGTAACACTACCAGAAAATGACATAAAAGTGTTTAAACATTTACCAGCTTTCATATCTAGCAGTAACATGTAACCTTTTGTTGTACCTACTAAACATTGCCTAAAAAATGTTCAAGTTTAATAAAATTCATCAACAACCACAATTAAACCAACCTTTCTCTAAAAGCAGTACTCAAACAAGTAAAACTAGCCTTTTGTTCAAAAAACTTAACCACTGGTCTACGTTGAGCTCTATCATCATATAATAAAACATGTCCTTCTTTTGTGGCACAGGCAGTTAACCATTCATTTTCAGGGAAGTAACAAATACCCCTTATTGATGTAGGAATCGGCAAATTCAATTCATCATGACCCATCTATAAAAATAACAGAATTTGTAATTCATCAATAAAATTTAATATTAAAATACTCACCGATTTTGCCTTGAAAATAGCCTGTTTTGTCTCAACATTCCACAGCTTTAAATCGTTAAATTCACCCCCAGTACCAACAATACCCTCCCTATTTGTATTTTGGCACAAAACATTCATTGAACCCTTCTCGTCTAAATCAATAGAAAAATAATCATTCTTTTTACCATTCCATAAGTTTATTATACCGTCGTGTCTCCCAACTATTACGGTTTTATTTATACACCCTATACCGCAAACCTTACCATCCCCCTCTAAATTTGTAACAGACTTTACAAACTTATCAGTTAACGAATTGTATATTTGACATTCCCCATTCTCATATCCAGCGATAATTTCATCCTCACTACGCCCAAAAGTTAACGCTGTCAATTCCGAGGCATCCTCACGGGATGTGTGCTTTATTTTTTCCTTTGGATCGCATTGCGAGGCTAAAAGTTGTTTTGTTAGGTTATGAAGTGAAATAAGTAGGGTTAAGTCTTACTTAATAGAGTCCCTCTGGATGTTCCGATGTAGAATTGGTATTTATTCGATTCGGAGATCATTTTAAGGTGTTTTGAACTTAAATTATAGTGGAAAATTGTTGTAAGTAGACAAAAATTAGTTAAAATTGGTCGAATAACAATAGCACATGTTTACAAATGTGACAAATGACTTTTAAAATCATGGCTGCCAATTTGGCAGTGTCAAAAGAACGCCAACGAGGCTAAAAGTTACTAGATTTGAATAATTTTTATTTAATTTATAACAAAATATGATTGTTTTGCATAATATTAAATAATGTAAACATACATAATTATTATTATCTCATAAATCTGAATTATTGGGATAACATTACAAAAAAATTTAATCAAAATATGTTTTGTTTTAAAAAATCCTAACCAGATAAAAATGACTGAAAGATAAAAAGATTAAACAGAATAAAAATCAGCAAAATTAAAGAAATAAGCCGGTGTTATGTAAGACTTGTTGTTTTGCTCATGATGACATTAAAAAGATAATTATTTTAACAGACAAAACCACTTCAAAAAGTGCTCAAGTTAATAAGGTAAATAAAGGTTACATTTTTTATTATTAAAAATTTGTGTTGATTATTAAATAGAAAATAAGTAAAAATGAGGCGAAGGTATGAATTTGAGTTAGAACAAACGAATTCCGACGATTTTGACTTGGATACATCAGAGAGAAATCGAAGAAGTATACATGGGGTACCCGTTTATGTTGGTTTTATAATTTTGGCAATTCTCGTTGGTTTATTGGGTTTTGTTAACTGGATTGACAATGCAGTGCCAACACCTTTAATGCTGAAAGATGAGGTATACCCTTTTATATATTTAATGCTTAAATAACATTGTTTTAATGTTTTGTAGAAGTCGTACCCTGATGCTTTTATATCAGAAAGGGCTCAACATGATTTAAAATTATTGACTGATATGGGTCCTAGAATTGTTGGAAGTCACCAAAATGAGATTTTAGCCGTGGATTTTCTTAAAAGAGAGATTAATTTTATTATAAATCAAAAACACAATAATCAGTTTATTGAGATTGATATACAGGTTGTATCAGGAGAATATTTTCTACAATATCACCAAACTGAGATGATAAATAGATATTCAAATGTACAGAATGTTATTGTTAAACTGCATTCCAAAAATAATTCTGAACACAGTTTATTGGTTAATTCTCATTTTGATTCTGTTCCTACAAGTCCAGGTTTGTAATATTACAATAATATACAAGGTTTTTTAATTGGATGCTAATACCTACTAAAGTAATTGCAATTGCATGATTCTGCCCAGGGAATTAAAAATGATTAAGACCAATCAGGTTAGGTTTTTACAGCCCAGGGAGCAGACCCGTTCCTGGGGTGTCTGGCGCCTACATGCAACATTCTTTGGTGCGCCCCTTTTATATTTAAATATAAAACATTAAATATTTTAGTTTTTAGTCCTAAAATTTAAAAAATATATATTTTGCGGCAATATGTAATTGAAAATGTAAAAAAACTGCTGAATTTAAGTATAAAAAATATTTATTAAATCACCAAAGGGTATTTTCGCAAAACAAAATAAAAACAATATCTGAAGGCAAATAGTTTAATTGCGATGTATTTAATTTATAACTTTAAAATATTCGTACATTGTAATGCTAAGAAGCTGGCATTAAGAATAAACACGGACGAGTTTCAATACTCGATACAAAGTTTAAATGTCGCACCCGTTACATTTTGAAGAAAAAAAATTGAAAATAAAGTATACAATATTTGTGCATTAAAATACGTGCTTGTTTGAGGTTACTATTCAAGTTTTACTCAAAATATTATTACTATACTCGTATGCTTTCATCCGAAATTTTACATCATCAACTTTAGAAGCCAACTTGGGCGCATTTGCCGATTTTCGAAGGTCGCGCCCGTTACGCGATTTATTAATATTTTGTTTGATGTCTAATTTTTTATACTATTTTTTGTATATTAACGTATCTTGATATATACACTTAATTATCATGAAAAAACGCAGTGTCAGTGTCCCACCCGTTACAATTACAATACCCCAAAACAAACAAAATCACAAAAAATATTTAATAGTACCTAATAAAAATACCCTAAAAAACAAAAAAATATATATAAACAATATAATAACTACAACTGGTTTTTAGTGACGAAAGCTCGTTACAAAGTTATACAAGTTTAATAGTATTCTACAGAATATATTCGGTATACTGTTAAACTTTGCTGTCAATGTCTGTCCTTTTATTTTGATACTTGATATTAAAAACGCGCTTTATAGCGGCCGAAAAATGAGCTACATAAGGCTTTAATGCGGCCGACGCAAATAAGTTACCATATGAAATTACAATTACAATTTACAAAATATAAATATGCTGGAAAAGATTTGCTTCTCCAAAACTGTTTTAACTCTTTTATAATAATAATAATGATTTTAAATAATGTTTACGTTTTCGATATAATTGTAATGATCTTATGGAAATAAAACTATTATTATTATAATTAAAGGGTAACCTTTATCCTATGTATGTTTAAGTATTTGTTTATTTGCAAGAAAGTTTATCGTTACAAAGTACTGATTGACCCTTTGATTTTGCGCCCCCAAAATGTTGCGCCTGCACAAAAAATTGCACTTCTGTCAGATCTTTCCAACCGCATTTTCTACTTTTAATAATTATCAATATTATTGTACGTTTTGAGTATCGTTTAAACAAATAAAATTGTGCCGTTTGGCGGAGTGTCTTTCTGTGCATGGCTTAGTTGTTAAAACTTTGAGCTCAGCACAAAAACACTCAATTCTTGACAAACAACTTTTTTTAAATTTTATTGTGTGACAATCAGGCAATTTTTGTTTTCATAACAAATTTTTCTACTTCCACGAAAAAAAATACACGCCATAAAATTTATTGCAATTTTTTTTAAGAGATTTGATAAGGGTTAAATTATGGTCCCAAAGCAACATTTTCCTAATTTGGTTAAAATATATCCACTCGTTGTCTTGTTGATCAATTTTCGGAAACGATTTTTTTTTCATTTTGAACACCCTATATCTTCAAAATAAAGCGTTTGATTTTTCTTAAAATCAGCCAAGAATTTGGTCCATTCAGTATTAGCATCCAATTAAGAAACACCCTGTATATTAAACTATTTAGGTGCTAGTGATGATGGTATAAGCGTCGTAACAATGCTAGAAGTGTTACGCAAATTATCTAGGTCCCCGGATCGCCCAGAACACAACATAATATTTCTTTTCAACGGTGCGGAAGAGACGACCTTGCAGGCTTCCCATGGGTTTATAACGAAACACAAATGGGCTAAAGAATGCAAAGTTTTAATTAATTTGGAAGCCTGCGGAAGTGGTGGTAAAATGACGATGTTTCAATCTGGTCCGAAAAAATCATGGTTGATGAAATATTATAATAAAGTACCACATCCGTATGCTCAGGCTGCTGGCGAGGAAATTTTTCAGAGCGGAATTATACCGTCTGATACCGATTTCAGGATTTTTAGGGATTTTGGGGCTTTAGTTGGTAAGACATTTTTTATTTTAAAGAACGGAGACTAAAACATTTTTTCGTAACTTTATTATAATAGGTGCGTTCTTTTCGCCTCTCAGTTAATCTCAGCTCACATCGGTAAAATTTGCTTCACTCGCCATAAAGTGAGCTGAGATTTTTTCTTCCCCCTCACCGATACTGCACATGCTGTGCGGGGGAATCAGTTTTAATTAAGTCGGAAATAAAGTGGAGGGGATAAAGAAATTATTGATTTGTTTTTAAATAATATAACCTAATCTTATTTAGGTGATTTTTTGTAATACAACTTAAATTTCCATAAAAATAATTAAATTTTGGAAATTACCTATAGGTAATTTTATTTGAAATATATTTATTATATCAAGTTTATATATAAACTTGATATAATAAATATATTTCAAATAAAATTGCTTTTCAGAACGAGAAAAACACTATTTACAACATAATTGAACAAAGAAAGTAAAAGTGAAGATTTTTTAATTCTTATATTATTCTTATATTATTTCATAAAATTATTATGTTTTACAAAAAAATGATTTTTTGCAATAAAACTTAAATTTTCATAAAAATAATTAAATTTTGTAAATTACTTATAAACTTGATATAATAAATAAAATTCGAATAAAATTATTTTTCAGAACTAGAAAAACACTTTTTACAATAAAATTAAACAAAAAATGTCAAAATTGTTTTGTTTTTGTTTGTTTAAATTTTGGAAATTACCTATAAACTTGATATAATAAATATATTTCAAATAAAATTGCTTTTCAGAACGAGAAAAACACTTTTTACAACATAATTGAACAAAGAAAGTAAAAGTGAAGATTTTTTAATTCTTATATTATTCTTATATTATTTCATAAAATTATTATGTTTTACAAAAAATGATTTTTTGCAATAAAACTTAAATTTTCATAAAAATAATTAAATTTTGTAAATTACTTATAAACTTGATATAATAAATAAAATTCAAATAAAATTATTTTTCAGAACTAGAAAAACACTTTTTACAATAAAATTAAAGAAAAAATGTCAAAATTGTTGTGTTTTTGTTTGTCACCCAATTATAGAAAGTATTATAGATCGGAAAACGTCTTCATCGTCTTTATTAAATAAAACTTTTATTGTTATTTTTGTATTATCCATAATTCAACGTTGTTGTGTTTTTGTTTGTCACCCAATTATGGAAAGATTAAGTATTATAGATCGGAAAACGTCTTCATCGTCTACATTAAATAAAACTTTTATTGTTATTTTTGTATTATCCATAATTCAACGCAAATTTAAACATAGAAATTTAAATTAATAAGGATATGACACAGAACATGATATCAGAGATAGGTTATGTTCCTCTCAGGTGTATGTATTGTAGCGAGTACGGCTCTGGATCTCGCTATGATGACTCATCGCCGGTGACTCAGCGCTCGAATAATCGAGAGTGTGGAGCTCGCTGGAATGTTCCAGAAGACTTGGGCGCTGAATATATAAGAAACGGAGCATCACAGAGCAGTCAGTTGAGCTTTGGTACGCGCGAAGAAATAAATAAATATAAGTGCAAATAAATAAACTAGTAGTGATATAAATAATTATTAGTTAAGTGTTTAGTTAGTTTTATACTATTTTAAGTGTAGTTAAGTTATTAAATAAAAAGTTTAGTTCGTTAATTAACCAGTGCGTGTTTTAATTCACACTACGAACAGTTAAAAACGTTACAATTGGTGTCAGGAGTGCGGTTAGTGTGAAACTTCGCGAAAATGGTTTCGTTAATGGACTTAAAAGTGGCGGACCTTAAACGGGAGCTGGAAGAAAGAGAATGTGATCCAACTGGAAAAAAGAATGTGTTGCAGCAGCGGCTTCGAGAAGCGTTGGAACAGGATGGTGAAAATCCAGATACGTATTTATTTGAAGACCCTTGTGACATGCATTTAATGTTGCAAAATTTAAAAGACCTAAAAGTCGATTTACAACAGAATATTCTAGAAAATTCTAACGACTTACAAAATAAAATGCTAGAAAATTCTAAAGAACTAAAAGACTATCTGCAACAGAAAATGGTAGAAAATTCTAGCGATTTAAAAGTCGATTTACAACAGAAGATTCTGGAAAATTCCAACGAATTACAACAGAAAATGTTGGAAAATTCTAGCGAAGTACAACAGAGAATTTTAGAAAATTCTAACGAGTTACAACAGAAAATGTTAGAAAATGTCAACGATTTAAAGGACGATTTGCAACAGAAAATGTTGGAAAATTCTAGCGAACTGCAGCATAAAATTCTGGAAAATTCTAAAAATTTAAAGGAATATTTGGAACAGAAGATTCTAGAAAATACCAATGAATTAGAAGAGAAAGTAGGACAGAAAGTTGACAATGTAAGGATGGAATTAGAAGAGAAAGTGGTGCAGAAAGTTGACGACATAAGGACGGAATTGAATGAGAAATTGGAAGTCAAAATTAAAGAAATAAATAGTAAACTGACAGCTGTAAATCTACCCATGATACTGGCGGAACCAGGAACAATGCCGGAGGGAAGCCGAGTTCGGATGAAACCACCTCAGTTCGATGGAAAAACTTCTTGGACCAACTACATCCGACAGTTTGAGGCAGCAGCAAAAGCAAATGGCTGGCTACCAGAAGAGAAGGCTACAGCATTGACTCTGGCTTTACGCGGAGATGCAACGGACATCTTGCAGACGCTTTCTCCCAACGAACAAGAAGATTACGAAGCGTTGGTGAAACATCTAGAACTTGCCAGACACATCTGGAACATGTGTACCATTCCCAACTGAAGAATCGCTGCCAGAAATCAAACGAGACTTTACAAGAATTCGAGGCTGATATTGAACGCTTGGTTCGGCTAGCATATCCAGCTACTCCAACGACCGTTATGGAACGATTAGCGGTTCAAGCCTTTTTGGATGGACTTCGGGACAACGAAACAAGACAGGCTCTGACGTTGGCTCGTCCGAGCCAACTGGTTGATGCATTGGCCCGAGCTTTGGAATTCGAGGCGGCAAAGCAGAGCTGCAGGAGCCAGCATAGAATTAGGAGAGTCGAGGAAGAAAAAGAGGAGGAACCCAGTATAATCGAAGAAATCAGGTGAGTTCTTAAAGAGAATCTACCAGAAAAGAAGGAAATCCGGTGTTGGAGATGTGGAAAGCTCGGACATATACGAAGTCGTTGCAGAAAAAGCCAGGAGGCGCCGACTTCATCTCAGTCGGAAAACTAGATAGGGTCGAGGAAAAGGGGCTACCGTCGACCTGTAACCAGCATGCCCCAGAGGATATCGAACGTGTCGCATCTCTTTTACACCAATCCAGTAGTGTTTTTGTGGATGGTTTTATAAACGAAAAATTACATATGCTGCTGCTGGATACAGGTGCGACGAAGACAATTATTAGGCCAGATATTGTCGAAACATCCAAGATCAAATCTACCAATCGGCGACTACGTACTGCAACAGGAGATACTGCTACTGTTCATGGAGAAGTGGACATCACGATGGTCATAGGAAACACTAAATTTAAACATCGAGCATTAGTTGCAGATATTGAAGATGAAGTTATTGTAGGCATGGACATTATGAACTCTATAGGATTTGAATTAAACTTTCAACAAGGAATATTGCGAGTAAATGGAGAGGAAGTCGTATTGCATCGATCGAAAGAAAAGAATATTCGTGTAATGCTAACAGAAGATGCTTTGATACCGGAACACAGCGAGATGATATTGAAGGCTTTCTTCCCTGCTTAAAATACCCCATAGAGACCCTGTTCAAACCGATAGATATTTGTATCGGGATGTATGGTGTTTCTATAGGGTGTATCGGTTTGTATAGGACCCATAGTTGAGATTTATGGTTGTTCTATAGGGATATCCACCATTGATTTATTTGCTATCGGTTTCAATGGGGAAAATACACATAATTTATGTAGAAATTAGTTTTTTCCCTATAGGACCCCATAGGTTTTAATAAAATTTTGTCAAATGTTTTATGGTTGCTCTATAGGGATATCCCTATATATCCTTCATTGAGTTATTTTCTATCGGTCTCAATAGGGAAAATGTAAAAGTTATGGTGTGCCTATAGGTAATTTCCTATACATTTTCTATCGGGATGTATCCGGAAAAAACCATGGACAAATGCACATATTGAATCCGGTAGCGCCCGATAGATTATTTTGTATAGGTCTCTATGGGGTATTTTAAGCAGGGTTGGATTGTAAATCAGAAGATGGAAGCATAATGCTTCTGGAGCCGAGAATTGATGACAAAGAGGTCGGTCGAGGAGTTTTAGTAGGGAAGACTTTAATACGTGTCGGAAAAGAAGTGCCTGTAAGAGTATTAAATGTTAATGGTTACTCTGTGAACTTGAAAAAAAGAATCGTTTTGGGGAACTGTTCTTCTGTTTCCTCAATTATTAGAAGCATTCGTGAGTCTGGAGTTCCGGCCAAGAAAATTAGCAATGAATTGACGACTCTGCTTTCGACTTCTTCAAAGGACTTAAAACCAAATGAGAGAGTAAAGCTGAGAGAGCTGATACACAACTATCAGGACGTCTTTGATGATGGACAAGGAAAGAAGGGTAGGACAAGAATTGTACAGCATAAAATTAACACCGGTGATGCACAGCCTATTCGACAGTCGGCAAGAAGGCTGCCACTTGCCAAGCGAGAGGAAGCTGATAAAATTGTGCATGAAATGGAGAAGGAAGGGGTGATCGAACCATCCAACAGCCCATGGTCTTCCCCAGTAGTGTTAGTTAAGAAAAAGGATGGATCAACTCGATTTTGCGTCGATTTTCGTCAGCTGAACAACGTGACGAAGAAGGACAGCTACCCTCTGCCTAGGATAGATGACACCCTGGATACATTGGCTGGATCCCAAATATTTTCAACTTTGGATTTAAAGAGCGGTTATTGGCAAGTTGAAATGGCACCAGAAGATAGAGAGAAAACGGCGTTTACCGTGGGTGCAGGACTGTGGCAGTTTACTGTCATGCCGTTTGGACTATGTAATGCCCCTGCAACTTTTGAAAGGCTCATGGAAATGGTTTTGAAGGGACTATCCTGGAAGACATGCTTGGTGTACCTTGACGACATCATTGTGGTTGGGAAATCTTTTGAAGACCATATGAAGAACCTGAAGGAAGTCTTTCAGCGCTTAAGAAGTTCCGGCCTGAAGCTAAGCCCGAAGAAATGTCACTTGTTCCAGAGGGAAGAGCAGTATTTGGGCCATGTTGTTTCGAGTCAAGGAGTGGCAGTGGACAAACAGAAGGTGAAGACGGTGCGGGAATGGCCAATACCGAAGAACAAACATGACTTAAGAAGCTTTCTTGGATTATGCACCTACTACCGTCGGTACGTACCAGGATTCGCAAAGGTTGCTAAGCCTTTGACACGTTTAACAGAGGGAGAAAGACGATTTCAATGGGACGACGAATGCCAGGAAGCCTTTAAGAACCTGAAAAACGCGTTGACCAGCTCACCAGTCCTAAGTTATCCTCTTCCGGATGGTGAATTTATTTTGGACACGGACGCCAGCAATGTGGGCCTGGGAGCTGTTTTGTCGCAGATTCAAGAAGGAAAAGAGAAAGTTATTGGATACTTCAGTAAAACCCTATCAAAACCAGAGCGAAATTACTGTGTTACTCGACGCGAGCTGTTGGCAGTGGTAAAATCAGTCGAACACTTTTACAAGTATCTGTATGGAAGAAAATTCCTACTAAGAACGGATCATCATCTTAAGTGACTGGCTTCTAAAGCGCGTTCTGGAGATGCCAGAAGGGGGGGAAGACCGAAAGCAGATAATAATCCCCAGAAACAGAATACCAGAAGTGCTGCAGGAAACCCATGATGGAACTACTGGAGGACATCTTGGGGTGACCAGGACGGTCGGAAGACTTAGGGAACGGTTTTATTGGGTCAACAGCCAGCGAGATGTGAAGGAATGGTGCAAGAAGTGCGCCGTTTCAGCGGCAAGCAATGGACCCCAGAAGCGCCCAAAAGCCCCAATGCGACAGTACAATGTGGGCAGCCCATTTGAGAGAATTGCAATCGATGTGGCGGGTCCATTTCCGGAAACAGAATCTGGAAATAAATACATCATCGTTGTAATGGACTACTTCAGCAAGTGGGCGGAAGCGTACGCCTTGCCAAACCAGGAAGCTGCCACAGTGGCCGATGCCCTTATTAAGGAGTGGATTTGTCGTTTTGGTGTGCCAATGGAGATGCATTCAGACCAAGGCAGGAACTTTGAATCTATACTGTTCCAGAATGTCTGTAAAATTCTTAACATTCGGAAGACGAGGACGACTGCATTACATCCGCAGTCTGATGGAATGGTGGAACGCATGAATCGAACGATAAACCGGTACCTGTCCAAGGTAGTCTCTGATCACCAAAGAGACTGGGACCGCTTCCTTCATCTGTTCCTGTTGGCGTACCGTTCTTCTATCCACGATACAACCGGCCAGACACCCGCTAGCATTGTTATGGGGCGTGAACTTCGTCTACCTTGTGACCTGAGGTTTGGTTGCCTACCATGGGATGATATTGCTGGAGAAGATTACGTCAACAATTTACGTAGGAAAATGAGCGACATTCACAGCCGAGTTCGTTTAAACATCCAGAGTGCCAGTGATAGAATGAAAGAGGCATACGACATCAAGGCGGAAAATGGAGGATTTCAACCTGGAGACCTAGTTTGGTTATACAACCCTCAGCGCCGTCGTGGTTATTCACCGAAGCTGCAGACTTCTTGGGAGGGACCATACGAAGTCATGGATCGAATAAATGACATCATCTACAGGATCAGGAAACAACCAAGAGGAAAGCCGAAAGTGATCCATTTCAACCGATTGGCCCCTTACGCTGGAAACAATGATCAAATAGACGATGCTAGAGTAAGAAGAGTTAATCCGCCGGAAGACGACTTGCCTTTTGAAGACTTCATGTATTTATATTCGAGCGGTAAAAAAGCTCGGTATGGTGTCACTCGAGAAGAGCAAAAAGATCTGTTCACGGTTTCGGCCGATTACTCCCTGGCTCACTGTGTTGCGGAAGACCTTAGTCCCAAAGTTGGAGAGGTGCTTGAAATTGTGGATAATGAGCAGATAGGTAACCGAAGTATCTTCTATCTGGTAACGAAGCAACTCTCCAATCAGAAGCCAAATTACCGTGACGTATGGAAAGCCTTAAATAAATTGAGGGATATCCTTTTGTCCAAGGACATCATGAACCTGGCGATACCGAAGATTGCTTGTGGACTTGACGGCTTAGACTGGAGAATAATTAGAAGTATGGTGGAAGTTATCTTCAGATTTAGTGGCATACACATTCTTGTCTGTTGCCACAACCCTAAAAGAACATCCGGAAGGAAGACCGTAGACTGCTACTTCTATAGGACGTCACAATGCAAGTTTGGATCTCTATGCAAATATCGCCATGGAGCTGAGGACCATTTTCGGGACGAAAATGTTTTAAGACGGGGGCAATGTAGCGAGTACGGCTCTGGATCTCGCTATGATGACTCATCGCCGATGAGTCATCGCCGGTGACTCAGCGCTCGAATAATCGAGAGTGTGGAGCTCGCTGGAATGTTCCAGAAGACTTGGGCGCTGAATATATAAGAAACGGAGCATCACAGAGCAGTCAGTTGAGCTTTGGTACGCGCGAAGAAATAAATAAATATAAGTGCAAATAAATAAACTAGTAGTGATATAAATAATTATTAGTTAAGTGTTTAGTTAGTTTTATACTATTTTAAGTGTAGTTAAGTTATTAAATAAATAGTTTAGTTCGTTAATTAACCAGTGCGTGTTTTAATTCACACTACGAACAGTTAAAAACGTTACAGTATCTTGTGTTCCTCTTATTCAAGTATGCCCGTCAGACTGCGCGTTTCAATTGAGTGTGTCGTTCTTTTAAATGCTTACTCACATCACTACATCTCATATCATATTAACTAAAGTTAGCTGAGATCTCAGGCGAAAAGAACGCACCTATTGTCACGACGAAGACATGATACAAAGTATCATGCGACGAATATGTCAAAACATTAAGGCCTAAGGCTATGTACAATTCGAGTTTAGCTTACACTTATATTTTATAATTTCAAAACTAAAAATATTGTTTAGGTTTCGACATGGCTTTTTACAAAGACGGCTATCGTTACCACACTAAATTCGACCAATTCGACGTTATACCATTGGGTTCATACCAACACATAGGCGATAATACTCTTTCGTTGGTCAAAAATTTGGCCAACGCGCCTGAGCTGGCTTCTACTAATAATGAAGAAGAATCCAATGTTGGTGTAATATTTTACGACATTTTCGGACTTTTTATGGTCTCCTACAGCACCTCAACAGCTATTATCATAAACAGTATTGTTGTAATTGGGTCCCTGGTGATTTTTGGAGTTTGGCTAAAATTTGGCAAGTTCTCTTTATATATAAGAATACTATTTATCTCGATATTAATTATACGTTTTAGGAGTCACCAAATCCAAGTCTAAATATTTGCTTCTTAGTATTGGTGCTATATTATTAGGTTGGGCACTTTCTTTTATTTTTGGAGTTACCCTTGCTTACATCTTGGACAAATTAAACTATTCAATGACGTGGTTTTCAAATCCTTGGTTACTTATTGGGTTATATTCAACCCCAACTGTATTCATTAGCTGTTTACCATTATTTTTCATTGAACATGAGGTAATATTTTATTTTTATACATATGGATTTTGCTTATGTTCTACATAAAAAGGGTTCCGTATTACCAACTATTCCTCTGTTATATTAAATATTACATCTGGCACTAAATATGATTTTTTAGACCTTGTCGCTAAATGTAAGATGCCAAATACAAGCTCACTTAGTAAGACTGATATGGACTGTGGTTTTACTTGTTGGCACAATATATGGAATACGTTCCTCATATGCTCTAATGGTTCCTATTTTATTTAATGTTATATGTTTTACTATAATTGGTTTTACTTGCCAACACTCAAGTAAGTATTTTCAATAATTTGTGTGGCTTTAACATTTTTTTCCTTCCAACAGGTTTAATATTTTTTCCTTATCTAGGTTCTTGGCACTAACACTCTGAAATCTGTATTCTATTTTATTATTTAATAATAATAACAAAACAAATTGAATTTTAGATTTTAGATGCGGTTTTATTTTAGTTAGAAAATGGCAAATAATGTATCTATTGTTCACTATTATATCAACAATGTTACTGATGGCTCAAGCCATTGTAACTTTGTCCCTGTTTGTACCTTTAACAGGAAGAATTGGGTCTGATAAAAACGCTGAAATTATTATAGGAGTAATGACGATACTATTCACTATTATAATCATATCATTTTTGGTAGCAATGTTGTAGAAAAATTAGTATAAAAGTGTATAGTTTAAATTTTAGGTTCCTCTAACAATTTTGCTAAGAAACGCGAAATATTTCTTTGGTATTTTAACTGTAGTTTTTCTGGGGACTTTAGTTCTAGTATTCACCGTATTTTCACTTCCCTACAACGTTGGAAAAGACACGGCAACACCGCAAAGATTTTGGATAAGCGTAAGAAATCACAAAAACATAAAAATATGTATATTTTTAAAATATTTTTTTTAGCATTGTTCTAGATCTTTTTACGATGAAAACGGCAATTTAAATAAAACCGATTCGGGTATTTTTATGCTTAACATGGATAGGAATTCCCCACAGAGCCTTAAAGGACATTTAAAGGACTATAATAAAATTAAAAGCCTTAATAATGATGATTGTGCTAAATATCCTGCATGTGGTTTGCCCATTTTCCACAGTAAAACCCTGGAAATTTTGTAAGATTATATTTTTAATTATATTTTGCATAAATTAATATTTTTTATATAGAAAGTACAGTTCATGGGTGCCGGCAAATCAGCCAATTTTACACCAGAAGGTATCATTTAATTACACTAAAGAAATAATTGATGCTACAACAGTTAAATATACAATTAATGTAAAAGGTTGGTATTTTTTAAATATAACAATGTTATTTTAACACTGTATATTAGGGTGGTTCAAAAAATCAACTATTATTTTTACTTCTGATATCAAAAAATTGGTTTTTGGAAACCTCAAAAGAAGTCCATCTACCTATAAGCTCTTACTTTTAAGAGTAAGATCCTCCTTATTGCAATTTTCCATTTTTGATTAGTCTGATTAAAACAAATTGGTATATTACTTATAAATAAATATAAAGCAAAGTTAAATACACATTTTGATAGAAAATTAAATGTTCTACAAAAAAGAAATCCTTTGTTTTCGTAAACCTATCAATTTAAAAGTTTTCAAAATTTTATAACTTGCAGAATAGTTCGAATTTTAAAATTAGTACATATTTTTGTTGGAAATTAACTTATCTACAAAAAAGTGTTTTTTAGATTTTTCAATAAATGTAAGCTATTCAATGATAATAGGTTTTGTTAAATATAAAGTATATCCCATATAGTTTAGTGGTTAGGATACCCAGCTCTTAATAAGACTAGGGGTTTTTAAATGTTTCTCCTGAATAATTTATTGATATAAATGTTGTAGCATAATTATTAATATGAAAAATAAATGATTTAAATTTTCTCATCCAGGAGGTTCAGGTACTAAAATACTTTTTTTAAATGAATATTTTAAAATAAAATGTGTTAAAATAAAATGTGAAACTAGTTAAACCCTATTTTAATTAATAAGAATAAAAGTTTATAAAGATATTTCAAAAAGTAAAATTAATATTTTTCACGGTTGTTAAAAAAAGTAAAAATTTATATAAGTTGAACTTTAGTTGCTATTATAAACTGCGCACCACTCAATGTGTCGCGACCAAAAAGTTCTTCCTTTTTCAAAACGATATAACTTTTTTGTTTCTTAAACGATTTTATTTTGGTCTTTAATGTCTACTAGCCCCATCTTCTGGCAATTCATGCTATAGATATGAAGCTCACGGTTCTTCAAGTAAATTTCGTACAGGGTGATATGTAAAACGGTGAAAAATTTCAATAACTTCATCCAAGCCCCGTTTAAAAAAAATAAATATTTTTTCTCATTTTTACTTTGAAATAATGGAGTATGTCTTACCTTGTAGCGTTTTTAAAATTTTTCGAATTGGAATCTTAGCAACGAAAATATGATGTTTTTTTCAAAAGAGTACATTTAAGGCTTTTTTGTAGGCAATACAGTCTTTTAAGGAACAAGAAGATAAGATGGTGAAATAATGTTCCTTAAATAACTCTGAACAAGCGTTTTGAAAAAGAACGAACTTTTTGGTCGCGACACATTGAGTGGTGCGCAGTTTATTTGAAACTCTTTATCAAAAAAATTAAAAAAAAAACCTTTTCCGTATATCGGTTAAAAAACATTTTCAAAATTCAAAACTTCATAAAATTTTAAATGGATAGGTTTACGAAAAAAACATAAGATACCTTTTTTGAAGAACATTCAATTCCCTACCAAAATATCTATTGGGCTTAAAATATAAATAATATAATTTTTTTTTATACACTAATGTGAAAGTGGAAAATTGCAATAAGGAGGATCTTATTATTAATAAATAAGAGCTCATACGTAGGTATCCTTCTTTTGAGGTTCCAAGCAACCAATTTTTTGATATCAGAAGTAAAAAAAATAGTTTGACAGCAGAAATAAAAAAAGAATAGTACAGTAGAAAATTTTACGTGGAATGACCCATATATTTTTTAGGCCCGGATCGTATAAGTATGTATGTTGTACCAAAACCAAACATGTCCTTTGATGAAACTTTAATTGATAACTCCCCCAACTTAAACTTTACCACAAACTCCAAAACTTTTTTCATCCAACACATTTACGGTTCTGAACCGGCCGATTTAAACGTAACTTTATTTATAAAAACCCCAGAAAATTGGGACAAACCAACAATTGATTTAGCGCTTACATCGCAACATGTGCACGAAAGACTTTTCGTTAAAACTCCTTACTATGAAAATTTTATAAAACAGTTTCCTAAATGGGCTGATGTTACAGCTTGGCTGAGTAGTTATAATTACTATATTATATAAGTGATATTATTCTTGACTGTTATTTTAAGGGATTTTATATTATAAATATATATCAGATTTATATTTTATTAAGGTGTTTTATTTTTGGTTGATCAGTTTTCAGTTCTTCATGATGTAAAATTATATTGAAGATGTTTATATGATTTTTATTGATGGTCATATTGAAATTTGACAGTGAAGAAAATTTAAATAAAAACAAAAAGTTCAGACTTACTCTTGCTTAGTTTCCTATCATCCAGCTCCACTTTTACAATACTAGTGGCATATTACATGACTTTGAAACTTACACCTAACAAATGACATTTATTACCTTATTTAAAAACAAAATGCAACTAACAAAACAAAAAAACGCCATGCAATATATCTTGGAAACGAAACCTATGCAAGAGCAGACGCTCCAGATATAATTTCAATGAGTTCTCTGGTGATAACAGACTGCCTGGTTCTGTTGTAGGTAAGGGACAGCTCCTGAATCATTTTTCCCGCATTTTTGGTGGCATTATCCATAGCTGTCATTCTGGATGACAGCTCGCTGGTCGCCGCTTCTTTCATAGCGTAAAACAATAAGCATGCCAGAGAAAATTCAATGTAACTTTGGAGAATTTCGTCGTTCAGCGCGTCGTATTTTGACAGTTTTGGGGCAGCCTAGACAAGGAAAAAGGGGGTTAAAACTGAAGAATTTGTTAGGGTTTTAGCCGTTACTTATGAGAGAAATCTGCAAAAAAATGAGCATTATATTATTGTCTTGTAAATATCAATAAATTTTGGTGGATTATAATTATCGGTGTTCTTTGATGCACTGAATTCGAATCAGACACTAGAATTTTACCATCACTTCAGGTTTTTAAGAAATTTTTATCCAAAAGTATAAAAAACGTTTTGTTGCATTAAAAAATTATCTCCACAAAAGTCGTTAAAATACTTTTTAAATGTTTTCTTTCCTTATAGAAATAATTACTTGAAATTTAAGGCGAGTTCATCAAAATTGACAAACATGTTCTACAACTCATTTTTTCGACATGCATGCTTTGAAAAGTTCAATGTTGTTAATGCAAACTGTTTTTAACACTTTAACAATTTTTAACAATTATTTGTTCTGCATTTTAATTGTAATTGTTTCCTGGTGAACTCATGATAATATCGCGCGAGATTTTTTTTACCACGCATGATATCATGGAAAAGTTTACCAGGTAAACTCAAGCGTGATATTTGCAAAATCTGCGCATGCCCACAAGTCCCACAAACAATTAATTTAAAACTAGTTATTTAGTTTTATTTAATGGAATGGGAAAAAAACTAATATTTCGAGTAGTTTTATTGCCACACTTACATATATACAGGGTGTCCGGGAAAATGTGGGAAATATCTCGGATTCAGATAAAATATGAAAAAATAAGATGATATGTTCCTATAAAAAAAATTTCCTACTTGCCCTCCTTACGGAGACATGGGCCCCGAAAGGACTCTCGTTTAAATTGGTTTTCCTTGAATAACTTTTAGTACTTAATATAATTTAATAAAAATTTAATATGATGGACCCTGGTAAGAATCACTTAAAATAGTGTCCTTGAAACATGTTTTGCTTTTTTTGTTTACCAGGGGCGGACTAAGTATTACACCTTAATGCTTAAATTTTGAACACCCCGTATGATAAAGACTAAATTGTTGAACCCTCTTATAAAGTTTTTAATTCATTGTTTCGAATTATCGTCCTTCAATTTAAGGTTTGCAACAATACGTTATATTATTTTTTTTATGGTCCTTTTTATTAAAAATAAAACATGAATTCGTTTATTATTCTTTTTCTCGAAAACGGTTTTTTAAGTCTTTGTCATACAGGGTGTTCAAAATTTAAGCATTAAGGTGTAAAACTTAGTCCGCCCCTGGTAAACAAAAAAAGCAAAAAATGTTTCAAGGACACTATTTTAAGAGATCCTTACCAGGGTCCATCATATTAAATTTTTATTAAATTATATTCAGTACTTTAAAAGTTATTCAAGAAAAACCAATTTGCAGTGGCGTTCTTTCGGGGCCCATCTCTCCGTAAGGAGGGCCAGTAGGAAAAATTTTTATAGGAACATGTCATCTTATTTTTTCATGTTCTATCTGAATCCGAGATATTTCCCACATTTTCCCGGACACCCTGTATAATAAACACTTATAATAATAAATACCTGCAAACCTGCAACACTGATTATACACACGCTGTCTGTAAACAAACCGCGATTTTCAAACTTATGAACCAAAACAAAACGCAGTTTTCGACCTTATGAGCCAATTTAATTGATATTAATTTAATGTATGATGCGGAGACTTTTAAGCCATAGGAAACCGCGAAGGGGTTTTAAAGCGAAGAGAAAAATTGCACATTATACGTCTATAGACTATAGTTGTATGGAAAAGAACTGACAATAAATCATAAGCAAAAAATTGTTTTTCTCTATTGTGAGAGAAATGGTATTGGTTTCAATCTGACCTTACTGACCAGCTACCAGTATTAACGTCCAGTGGCTTTAGAGAGACCAATAAGACAAAACATGAATTTTCAAGGAAATCTTAAAACATCCACTAAACTGTTTGGACTTACAAGGTTAAAGCAAGGGATATTATCAATAAATACGATTGTATTTTTACGATGGGCCCCTGACTTTGTCTCTCCTGTGTCAAATAAGTCACTTATATTTCACACTCTTTTATTAGGCCTCACGCCACCAAAGACAAAGTCGAACTGTAACCAAAAATCACATGGCGACTTTTTTCAACTAGTTTTCGCATGTGTATGGTACGAAAATTCAAATCCAAAGTTTGTATTCCAAAAACTGATGACATAAAAAATCACGACACGATTTTCATTTCCGTATGGCACAAAAATTCAAATCCAAATACTGATGACAAAAAATCACATTATTTTCATTTCCCACGATGATTTTCATTTCCCACGCCTTATGGCACAAAAATTCAAATTTAAACAATGATGACATAAACATTCACGACATGATTTTCATTTCTTACGTGTGGTATCCGTATGAATAATATTCGTGAAAATCACGACGGGCCTCTATACGATTGTATTTTTACGATGGGCCCCCGACTTTGTCTCTCCTGGGTCAAATAAGTCACTTATATTTCACACTCTTTCATTAAGCCTCACGCCACCAAATAGAAAGTCGAACTGTAACCAAAAATCACATGGCCACTTTTTTCAACTAGTTTTCGCATGTGTATGGCACGAAGATTCAAATCCTAAGTTTGTATTCCAAAAACTGATGACTTAAAAAATTACGACACGATTTTCATTTTTCACGTGTGATATCCGTATGGAACAAAAATTCAAATCCAAACACTGATGACAAAAAATCACATGATTTTCATTTCCCACGTGTGATATCCTTATGAATAATATTCGTGAAAATCACGACGGGCCTCAAGTAGCACTGGCATGGTCATTGGCGCTGGTAAATCCACGCATGTGTAAACCCGCTTTTATGATCAAAACTATGAATCAAATTTTTGCCAAAATCAAACTCATAAATTTCAGCTAAAGATTTATAAAAGAGGAGAAATGATATTGAAAAAATTCAACAAATTTTGTATGCAACAATATTATGTGTTACATTGCAGTTACATAACCTGATGGTTGGCTAGTGGAGTGCGGGACAAGGAGGGCAAATATTTTGTTTATTTAGGGATTTTAAACTAACCCAAAACCCTAAACCAAACCAATAGATGACTATCTTAGAGTATATAGTTTGGAGCCAAATGAGGCGCCCTCTCTGAACTTGGCTAAAAATTAAATTACGTGTTTACAGGCAACTGTTGCCAACATAGCTTTTAATTGGTGAAAAATCAACGTATTTGATTGGTTACTTCAATAGCGCTATATTTAAAATCTAAGTTGTGGCTAGATTTTAAATGTAATTAGTAACGAAAACAATAACTTTGTTTTCTACCATGTATTTAAAGTACTTCTGTGGTTCTTCTGTCAAAAAAGGACCGTACGTTTCGTTCGAATTTACCTTAATTACAAAATGACACAATGAAACAATGCAAATAAATGCAATTATGTCAATATTGTCCATTGAGTCATTTTTGTAATTAAGGTAAATTCGAATGAAACGTACGGTCTTTTTTTGACAGAATCTGGTAACACTGCTTGCGATACTTTGGCAGAAAGTCATCGATATGGTAAGAAACATTGTTTTTATTATTTATGATAGTCTACCAAAAGTAACTTTCTTATTAATCATTATTTTGAAATTGAAGAATACTGTTAAATCCATAAATTTTATTAAACTACATGCCTACCATCTGAAAGATTATGATTCCGTCAAAGTGTCGTTTATAAATTATTATTACAATACAAATAATACACAATAAAAACACACAAATACACAAAATCTTAGAAAAATTCGATAACTACGTCAACGTCAACGTCAAAAAGGTCAAAAACGTCAAAACCTCAAAAAATTATAAAATCCGCGCCCTCTCTTGGCTTGGCTAAATATTATAATACTGTCCCGACATTCTACATAAGATATTTATCTATTGGTTTGGTCTAGGCCCAAAACTAAGTACAATCTGGAGTCCCCCTCAACCAGGGATTTAGTAATAACTCCATTCAATTGGAGTTCATGAATGGGGCTTGATTGGTTAGTACGCTGCTAGGACCTATCCTTGCTGGTCTTGTACTACTTCCTATTCTTCTGTGTCCGTATCTCTGTCTGAGTCGGATTCCGAGCTTGCTGACTACCCATAACGTTGCGCCCCATTGTGCGGTTGATTAGTATAACGCATAGAACGTTACGTCTTTAAGGAGGCGAATACTTCGGTTGGTTACCTATCTTATGGTCCCCTTAAATGTTTCTTATAGTCTACATATGTTTATTTTCTTAGCACGAGGTTTTCTTTTGCCTAGTATTTGTTTGAACTGGACTGACTTATGACCGTTTATGTGAGCCGTTATTTATAAGCTCTTTGGCTAAGCTTGCTGTTTTTATGGGAACTGTTGGCGACTAATTATTTTACCTGGTGGAGTTCTTTGTTTGTTGAGGTTGCGAATGTAGCATTAAAATTTAGTATTGGGTATTATTAAGGTCATGCAATTTAGGTAATTTTACTTATCCGGTTTATGCAGACTTGGACTTTAGGTACATTGACACGAGAGGTGTGGTGAAGTTATACCTCAACCGCCCACTATTAGCAGGCGTTGTTTCTGTGTTGGTAATCTAGGAAAAAGTATTTGTTGTATCCAATCAACTCACTCACACTCTTTTTTACAAATAGAGTACTCTGGGGCTTAATCCAGGTGGAGGTGCCACACGCAGTTTACATCCTTTTTGCACTTGGTTCTGGTAAATCACGTGTAGAATCATTGATTTGATTTTATGAATTTGAACACCGATGGCGGTGGTAGGGAAGTACAAACGCTTTAAACGAGAGCCTAGACACACGACCGTTTGCCTCGAGGTGGGTTACATAACAGCAATATTGTGTTCCGTTAAATGTTGAGCGGGTAATACTTTCAGATGGCGCAATGAGAAAAATACATTGTGATGTAGTAAAAACTGTGTTTTTGGTTAAAATTTCCAAAGTCTAAATCGGATTCAGCACGTCAAATGCCTGGTTTATATTTGAAAATATTTCAGACCTGTTACTTATAATGTAAATAAATCAAATGCATTATTTTTTCGCTAAAAGTTCTGTCTAAAATAAATACATTTTGGTGAGTAAATCCTGAAAAAACTGAACTAATTATTAAAGGAAAATAAAAGACTTGTGAAGGTGTTTATTATAATTTTATTAATAGCCACATGGACAGTATATAGTATATAACAGTAAATAGGATTTAAAACAATAAGAGGTGTTACATTCAGAGACTTTGGGCTTATTCTCGCTGTTGGTATCATCCAGCTTCACTTTTACATACGTGCACCGCATTACTAGTGGCATATTACATGACTTTAAACCTTATTATTACACAATTATTACCTTACTTAATTTAAATTAAAAAAAAGGAAAAGAAAAGGAGCCATGCAATATGTGTTAACCTAGTAACAAATTGATTGATTAATCGAGGGCTGCAGCACCAGAGATAATTTCGATGAGTTCTCTGGTGATGACAGCCTGTCTGGTTCTGTTGAAGGTGAGAGTCAGCTTGTCGATCATCTCGCCGGCGTTTTTGCTGGCGTTGTCCATGGCAGTCATGCGCGACGACTGTTCGCTGCAAGCGCCCTCTTTCATCGAGTAGAAGAGCAGGGAGGCCAGAGAGAACTCCAAGTAACTTTGGACGACCTCGTCGTCGAGCGAATCGTACACGGACAACTTTGGCGCGGCCTGCGGCACAAATACTTTGACGTTTAGCGTGACGTGACAGCGGATTAGGAACGTGCGGGCGAGGATGTGAACAAGGTAAAAATGTTTAATAACGATTTTTACAGTTGGTTAATTCTCAAGTTGAAACAGATGTAACACAATGACACCGTGATGTGAAATGACATGATAACCGGTTAGGAACGTGCGGGCGAGGTGGTGAATAAGGTAAAAATGTTTAGTAACGATTTTTACAGTTGGTTAATTATCTAGTTAAAACAGATATACTACATTGACGCATGAAAAACACGAGCACAGGCAAACATTTATGTACTATGCTGCAAACCCAAGAGTCCGACTTTGATATTTAAATACAAATAATTGAGGTTATGTATCTGTCAGTTTAACGCTAATTTCGTCTGAAAATATATATTTTTTTAAGTGTACAATTATTTTCATATTATAAGACTCATAATATAGAAAGACTTTATATTAGTCCTAGTTCAAAAGTCAAATTATTACTCGGTAGAAATCACAACCCACAAGGTATGTTCTATCTCTTTTCGCGCATACTAAAAATCTAACGGCGGCCATTTTTATGTTGTTTATAATTCTTGTGCTTTGGGTTTGTGTCGTTTATACAGATTAAAAATCGTTTTAAACGTTTTGTTTCCTAAAAAGGAACTTATAAGCCTCAAATGAGGGGTATGGTAAATTAACCTTAAAATTCAAATTTGACAGTTTGATGACAGCCCTAATAGAATAAGGCTTATTTTTACCAAAAGAGGAGTAAAATGGTTGTTCTTACCCTCATTTGAGGCTTACAAGTGCCTCTGTAAGAAACAAAACGTTTAAAACGATTAATAACACTGTGCAACACCAAAAATCAAACCGCACCGAACTATTTTTTTTTGAAAATATACCTATCCAATAGCAAAACCCTCGCTGGGTTTGTAAAAGTTAGCTCGATTTATTTTTTTATGACCGTTTGTATTTTCTAGCTTCATATACCCCAATTTAGACTTATTAATCGATTTTTTCGCATATATTAGATTTATATCGTCAAGATTTTTTGTAGAAATGTAAGTTACTAAACAAATAAACCCATTTTGTGAACAACCTATATCCCCAAACCCAATTTTTGGAACCAAATATTCGAAAAATTATTTTTTTTTCAATTTTTTTAATAATATTTAAAATTTCTTGCTACTTCTTCTGGCAAAAATGTTGTAAAGTATACAAAAAGAAGTAATTTATAAAATACGCACACAAAACTGAACTTTAAGTTTACTTATTTGCTGAAAAACAATTTTTAAACAAGATTTTCCAAAATATTCATCTTTTCATACTCAACACCAATCTTTTTGCCGAAATCTTTGGAAAATCTATAGAAAAAAATTGAATAGATAAAATAGAATTGTAGAAAAGTACAGAGAGTTTGATTTTTTATTTTTTATTAATTTTATTATTAAAAAACTTTTTTATATCAAAACATTGAGTAATCTGATTCATTGCTGGAGAATTCCATCCCTTCCACTTCTTCTCCTTTATTTTCTTGTTCTCATTTTCATTTTTTGATTCATCACTGTAGAATTCCATCCCTTCATTTCATATATTTTTTATATTCATTTCATTTCGGAAGACTTTGACAGGGCCTTGGTTGACAATGAGATAGTTGCGTGGGCGTCGATAAGAGAAATCATCGTTGGACTTTTAGGCAAACATCGTTTTCCCAATTATGAAGGATCTGTGCGACGAATGTTGGATGTTTTTTTTCCAAAATTGGAGTCAATATGTCGCTAAAAATTCATTTCCCTCATCGCCATTTGGACTACTTCAGTCGACAGTTATCGACACAATCATCAAACTGCGATGCCATTTGAGTCCAGATAAAGAGGAAAACGAGCTCCAGATGCCATACTAGCCGAAACATTTTGGTGAAGTAAACATATTTTTGACTTCGATCAGAAATAAAATGAAAATGAAGAACAAGAAAATAAAGGAGAAGTGGAAGGGATGAAATTCTCCAGTGATGAATCAAAAGAATGAAAATGAAGAGCAAGGAAATAAAGGAAAAGAAGTGGAAGGGATGGAATTCTTCAGCAATGAATCAGATTACTCAATGTTTTGATATAAAAAAGTTTTTTAATAATAAAATTAATACAAAATAAAAAATCAAACTCACTGTACTTTTCTAGTAGAAAATTTCTACAATTCTATTTTATCTATTCAATTTTTTCCTACAGATTTTTCGGCAAAATATTTGGTGTTGATTGTGAAAAGATGAATATTTTGGAAAATCTTGTTTAGTTTTGTGTGGGTATTTTATAAATTACTTATTTTATACATTTTTACATATTATCAAAAAATTAAAAAAAAAAATAATTTTTCGAATATTTGGTCCCAAAAATTGGGTTTTTGGGATAAAGGTTGTTCACAAAATGGATTTATTAATGCAGTAACTACATTTCTACAAAAAATCTTGAAGGATCTGTGCGACGAATGTTGGATGTTTTTTTTCCAAAATTGGAGTCAATATGTCGCTAAAAATTCATTTCCCTCATCGCCATTTGGACTACTTCAGTCGACAGTTATCGACACAATCATCAAACTGCGATGCCATTTGAGTCCAGATAAAGAGGAAAACGAGCTCCAGATGCCATACTAGCCGAAACATTTTGGTGAAGTAAACATATTTTTGACTTCGATCAGAAATAAAATGAAAATGAAGAACAAGAAAATAAAGGAGAAGTGGAAGGGATGAAATTCTCCAGTGATGAATCAAAAGAATGAAAATGAAGAGCAAGGAAATAAAGGAGAAGAAGTGGAAGGGATGGAATTCTTCAGCAATGAATCAGATTACTCAATGTTTTGATATAAAAAAGTTTTTTAATAATAAAATTAATACAAAATAAAAAATCAAACGGCCATTTCAAGCGCGCGAAACGCACAAATTACAAAACTGTTTTTATAAAAAAAATTGTAGATTATTTATTATATAATATTTTGGCATCAAAATTGTCAAAAATATTCTTCTTTTATTAGGTTATACATTAAACTAAAAAAAAACGCAAGAAATATTTTATGAAAGTAGATATAATTTTAATAATTGAAAGGTGTGGACGGGACAAAAAAAAGATTTATCTTGTCCCGTCCACCCCTGTCAATTATTGAAATTATCTCTACTTTTATAAAATATTTCTTGCGATTTTTTTTATTTAATGTATAGCCTAATAATAGAAGAATATATTTGATAATTTTGATGCAAAAATAATATATAATAAATTACCTACAATTTTTTTTATAAAAACAGTTTTGTGATTTGTCCCGTCCATCCGCTTGAAATGGCCGCAAACTCACTGTACTTTTCTAGTAGAAAATTTCTACAATTCAATTTTTTCCTACAGATTTTTCGGCAAAATATTTGGTGTTGATTGTGAAAAGATGAATATTTTGGAAAATCTTGTTTAGTTTTGTGTGGGTATTTTATAAATTACTTCTTTTATACATTTTTACATATTATCAAAAAATTTAAAAAAAAATAATTTTTCGAATATTTGGTCCCAAAAATTGGGTTTTTGGGATAAAGGTTGTTCACAAAATGGATTTATTAATGCAGTAACTACATTTCTACAAAAAATCTTGACGATATAAATCGAATATATGCGAAATAGTGTATTAAAGAACTAATGTCATTTTGTCGCACGCGGACAATTTATAAAACGAGCGAGTTTTATAATGGACAAGTGCGACAAAAGGTCTTATGACATGAGTTCTTTATGCTATTTTATCTATTTTGCAAACATTTCATAAAACAAATTAATTTTATACCTTATATTTAATTTGGTCGAATTTTACTTTACATAGTTGGTATCTCAGTTTGAAGTTTGAAAGGTCATTAACCTTTCAAACATCACATTCTTTCGCTATGGCGTCGTTAATTTACAATAAGTATTTACAATAAGCGGCTGTTAAAGAAGAAAAAAGGATTTTCTTTGGTGTTAAACAAAATTTATTGCACGAAAAGTCTCGTAAGTACTAGAAAACAAATCATAAAAATATTATAACCTATGGGTATTCAATATTATATTTTATCTATTTTGGTTTCATAATGACTTCATTATAACACCGCTTTTGGTTCTTTAATGAGGTACTTTATTCCACCCAAAATTTTGATTTTATAGGTTGGCTACTGGTAAAATACAATTTTGAATACCTATAGGTTATAATATTTTTATGATTTGTTTTCTAGTACTTACGAGACTTTTCGTGTAATAAATTTTGTTTAACACCAAAGAAAATCCTTTTTTCTTCTTTAACAGCCGCTTATTGTAAATACTTATTGTAAATTAACGACGCCATAGCGAAAGAATGTGATAATGTTTGAAAGGTTAATGACCTTTCAAACTTCAAACTTTGTTATCTATGATACCAACTATGTAAAGTAAAATTTAACCAAATTAAATATAAGGTATAAAATTAATTTGTTTTATGAAATGTTTGCAAAATAGATAAAATAGCATAAAGAACTCATGTCATAAGACCTTTTGTCGCACTTGTCCATTATAAAACTCGCTCCTTCGTCGCTCGTTTTATAAATTGTCCGCGTGCGACAAAATGACGTCTTATGACATTAGTTCTTTAATATACTATTACTAGTAGCCAACCTATAAAATCAAAATTTTGGGTGGATTAAAGAACCAAAAGCGGTGTTATAATGAAATCATTATGAACGCGAAATAGATAAAATCGATTTATAGGTCTAAATTGTCGTATATGAAGCTCAAAAATACAAACGGACATAAAAAAAAATTCGAGCTAACTTTTACAAACCCAGGGAGGGTTTTGCTATTGGGTAGGTATATTTTCAGAAAAAAATGGTCCGGTGCGGTTTGATTTCGATGACCCGAAAATTGTCGCACAGTGTAATCTGTATAAACAGCACAAACCCAAACTACAAGAATTGTAAACAACTTAAAGATGGCCGCCGTTAGATTCTGTGCAGTGTTGCAGTGATTTTTAGTATGCGCGAAACGAGACCTTGTGTGGATTGTGGTAAAAATAAAGCTAAAATATCAGTTTGACCTAACCTAAAAATTATGTGACAGAATCTTAAAAAATTCTTTAATTAAATGCTTGAAAACAAAATAGTATATAAAACTCGGCGGCGAAAGCCTATTAATTGCCTCGTACACAATCTACTGCCTTGGCTATCGCCTCGGCAGTGAAATGTATGCTCCGGGATAATTTGTGCTTTCTCTGCCTAGTCAATAATGTACTATTTTGTGTATATTGTATTTTATTCACAAAATAAGACAAAATTTGCACAAACTCGCAGATAGATAATCAAATGACTTTTGGGTGTGGAGCATAGAATATTCAAAAATGTTAAAAAAATAAAATAAAATAATTATGAACTTTTATAAAAAAACAATTATTTAAAATATATTTATTGGTTTTTGTTTAATTTTTTAGTTTTTAGTTTTTAAAAAATTGTATGGTATACAATGTATACTATACATACAAAATAAATATTTTTTCCAGATCCTGTATTTTTTTATTATAAACTAAATTGCAAAAAAGTTAGGTGCAATCCAAAATAAATATAAAAAAACAAAAATTGTGATTTTTTAATTATAATCTGTGATTAAACCTTTTCATGAAAAAACTCAAATATTTTGTTATAAAAGTTGCATTTTAAACTTATAATAATAATTTTAAACATGCGCAAGTCTAATTAAAGCTGTTTTTTGGAACGTAAAAGGCATAAACAACACTAGAACAATTAATTATATTGTACATTGACCATAGACAAAAAAAAGAGATGTGCAAAAGCAAAGCACATTTTTACAGCCTCAATCAAATCATCTTCTTTGTCTATATAGTCCTGACTAGAGATTTAAAATTTCAGGGAAAATTGACTTTCCTAAAAAAGCGGGTTTTGTCCCAGAAAAATTGGAGAAAACTAAAATTTTGGAAAAAATTATTGTTTAGTTATAACTTTTAGTTAAACTAGAAACGAGTGTTGTAATTGCTGGGCACGCTTTACATTTACAAATTATTTTGATTCTGCATTCGGGTAAATCCCCGAAAAAATCAATTTAGATATTATTTTTTAATTAATCTAACTTAATTTAATTAAAAAATTGATTTTTTAACTAAATAAAATATTCTGCAAAAATATATATTTAAGTTTCCGGTTTTGATTTTATAATTTTCCTGAACCATTAAATCTCTGGTCCTGACCCTCCCCATCCTAAAAACATTTCCCAAAATGGATTTAACTTATATGAATAAACTCACCGTGACGCAGGAAAGGCTGAACACGGGCAAAGTCTGGGTGTTGTAGGAGACCACCGACTTGAACCTGTTGTAGACGATTTCGCCGGTGCTGAACTTGTAGTCGGACTTCAAGATGGCGTCGGCCAATTTGGAGGCGTCCAAGAAAGTTGGAGGCAAACGTCCGATCTCGTTGCAGGCTAGGATAATGTTTTTGCCGTAGATGCGGGACAAGATGGCGCGGGATTTGTCGCCGACGCACACGACTTTGATGTTCTGTTCGTCCAGGGCGAGCTCGTTACGGATGTGACGGGCCACGCTGGTGTGTACGGCACCGCACAAACCTAAGGTGAAGAGAAAAATAGCAAAATTGTCAAAAAATATTGTGGCAATTCGACAGGACAAAAACTGAACATATATAATTTATATACAAAGGAATGACTCCTGGAATGAAAAGTCAACTTGTCTACAACACAATACCAAACTATGTCAAGAATTCAAGAACTGTAAGATGTTTTGTAAAAAACTTGTACCGTAAACACGGGTGACTTTGCACCCCGCGGGTGACTTTAGCCCTTTTATGAAAAAAATTTTCGCGCTCGATAAAATTAACATTTATAATTTGTTGGTCTAAACCTGTCAATTGAGCCATTCTATTGAGTTTATAATATCGGATATCGGATACCGGATAAATTATTAACTTTATTTCGCAATGAAGAATTTCCTTATTATGACATCTTAAGTTTGTCTTGGTGAACAATCGACGTAGTTTTTGTTAATAGAGAAGCGGCCAAATATTTTTGTATGGAGAAAATAGACTTAGAATTAACTAACTAATAAATGATATTATATATATTATAAATTATATTATTATTATTATTATTATTATAAGCATATTGTTGAGAAAAAACTCTTTTAAGCAGTTGTGTATTCGGATTTCGGATCTTTGCTCCGTATCTGATGCGGATTGAAGAAGATCAGGATCTGATGTTTAGCACTAGAAAGATCCAGTATTCGGATCTCGGATCTTTGATCCATATTTCGGATCTTTGAATCGGAGTATTATATCCGGATAGATCCAGAACCGGATTATGCACGTTGAAAAATCCGGATCTGATCCGGATCTAATGTTCAGCACTAGTTTATATTACAGGAAAATCAGTGTTTTAAAAAAATAAATGGGATTTATTACACTTTAAAGTTGTATATATTGCATTAGAGCAAAACTCTTAAAAATACACGCGTTTCAATTTCTATATTATGCGCAATTATTTGGAATGATGATCCTTAGTTAACTACAGGTCGATTTTTTATTGTTTTTATCGGTAATCCCTTGCAATTGCTATATGTCGCTGCTAACATATGTCTAATAAAAATAAAATAAAATATTGAGTTAATTTTATACGGAAAATACACTGTGAGACAAAGTAACCCGCAACCAGGGGGTAACTTTGCACACCAAGTTTTTAATTTTTATTTTTGAAACTGAGCCCTATGTAAGATTATAACATAGTTATTATAAAAGGGCAACTCAAGACTCAAATTTTGGTAAACAATATTTAATGTTTATGATTGTTAAAACTAAAAAAAGGTTAAGATTAAGTTTGAAAGTGAGCTAAAGCCACCCGTGTTTACCGTACCTGTACTTAAAAGTAAAAAACTAAAAGTGATATTTTTAAGCCAATTATTTATTAACCCTTGTGATGTTAACTAAATGTGATATTTTATATTTTAAATTTATTTCCTATTAATGATGTATTTATTAATTGAATCTGTGATATATTTACTAATTAATAAAGTTCTTGTCATCTATATATAAAAAAGTACTGTAAAAGGGCTCTGCCATCAGTCTAAATAAGATTGTTTTAGATCTGTGGGTAAAAGGCATAAGGGGATAAGTCAAAAAAAGCAATTTTTCAGCAGAGCCTTAAACGTGTTCCCATTAATTCAGGAAATATATTTATTGTTAGCGGATATACCCTTTTGGTAGCATATGACATGTTCTACCAAAAGGGTATACCCACTAACCATAAATATATTTCCTAAATTAATGCGAACACGTTTAAGGCTCCACTGAAAAATTGCTTGTTTTGACTTATCCCCTTATGCCTTTTACCCACAGAGATGTCCCATAACTTAATAATAAATAAATAATTTAACCAAATTTTGAAATGTTTTCTTACATTTCCAATTTTTGACGCCATATTACATTTAACATGTTGAAAAGGAAAGACAATAAAAAATATTAGTTTAGCGTTTTATCAAAATCACGTGCCATTCTGAATATAATATACATAAAATTGTAAAATTGTAAGTAACCAAGAAAAATTTAACTAAACAACAAAATTACTGAATTTGGCCAAAGGAGATTTTTTTTCAAAAACTTAATTATTTTGAATAAACAAAAACATTAAAAATTACTCAAATTTATAATCCAGCTATTAACAGGGTGTCTCAAAAATTGCGGACCAACGCCAAAGGGGTTATTGGAAGCATCAAAAAGAGTGTACTATAGTTTTTGAAATTAAAAATTACTAAAGTACTAGTACGGTTTTTGAATAAAAAAATAATTTTAAAGGAATTTAACAGTCAACCACGATACCTAATTTTTCCAAATAAAAACCTTGTTTAAACAGCTTTTGTTTAGAACTATTTATAAAAATTTGACATAAGTAATATTATATTATAAAATAACATTGTTCTATTATATTAATAGAACAATGTTATTTTGTAAATAAAAACTTGCAATTGTCCCATCTGTTACGCGTGGAATGGCGTGGAATGACTGTATATAAATATACTTTGGTGTTTTTATTATTTAAAATTGACCAATAATCCTGTTCAATGCCTTTTTACTTTGACTTTGAATAGGGAATTAAAAAATTGTGAAAATCAAATCAAACTACTGTTAAATAAAAAAAAAAATAAATTATAGTATTAAAAAACTATTAAAATTTAATACTTGATTGTTGATTTGTTCTTAAAATTAATATAATATAACTAGAAAGCATGAAAAATTAAATTTACTTGGAGCTAAACAATCCTAAAAATTTAATGAAATGTAAAAAGCAATATTATTTTTTAAAAATCTTAAAAACCAATATTATTTTAGAAAAATCTTAAAATTTAACACCAATTTTTTTTTTTAAATTATGTAAAATACACATAAAAATACATTCAAATGATTAAAAAAAATTAATGAAATTTGTTTCCAAAATTAACAAAAAAAAGTATAAAAACATATCCCAATGATTTAAAAAAATTAATAAAATTTGTTTCCAAAAATTTTAAAAAATAAAGCATAAAATTACTTAAATTTATAATCAAATAAGAAATTGCTTTTATTATATTAAAAAAAGAACATAAACATGATCCAAAATTAAGAATAACCTATTTTTACTATAAAAAATTCCTAAAATTTTATTTAGAACTATAAAAACCTTAAAACTGAAATAATCCTAGAGAAAATGTTAAAAACCTTACATACAGTGGCGGCTGGTGGATTTTGCGTATACTGATATCTCAATTATTAGATATGTGACCCACACCAAATTTATATCAGTTTATAATGCGATAAGCAGAATTTAAATTAAAGTTTGCGAAAAAAAGATAACTTTTTGCTCGGCCGTACTGGCCCCATGGCGCCCCCAATAAATATAATATAAATTTAATTGGTGCAATTTATTATTTACCATAGTTTATCAACAAATTTCAAATTTTATTTAAAAAATCCATATCATACAGATTTTATATCATTTTAAACTTTTTATTTCTTTGAAAAGAAATACCTATTAAAAATTTAAAATGGTATAAAATCTGTATAATTTGGAATTTTTAAATGAAATTTAAAATTTGTCGATAAACTATGGTAATTACTATTATTTAAATAATAAATTGCACCAATTAAATTTATATTATATTTATTGGGGGTGCCATGGTGCCAGTACAGCCTAGCAAAAATTTATCTTTTTTTCGCAAACTTCAATTTAAATTCTGCTTGCACAGAACTTGTTTATTTAATGTCATTATAAACTCGTATAAATTTGGTCTAATAATTGAGATATCAGTATACCCAAAATCCACCAGCCACCACTGCTTACATAATACTCATATTTAAAACCTGTTGGAGAGTTCAACAGTACTGGAAACTAAGTTAGTCCTTAACTTTTCCATTTTATAAACAAAAGCCAAAAATCTAAGATTACTCCCAAAAAAAAAATAAAAAAACTAAGATTCCCATGCTCTCACCTCTATCAGAAGTCACAGCAATAACCAACTTCTGTGGCTGTTCAGCAATTGGTCCAACCTCAGCCTTTTCATAAAACTGCTTGGCCCCATCACCAATAGGCCTCACTTGTTTTAACTCACGTTCTGCTCTTGAGTACTTGGCAGCCGACACCATCTTCATAGATTGGGTGATCTTCTGGATATTTTTGACGGACTTTAAACGGATGGAAATGGCCTTTAAGGTGGCCATTCCACACTGTGGCTGAAGCTGCACATTTTGTGTTACAAGGGGGGTTACTTTTCCAAATCGACCCAACATTTTTATAGCCTAAAAGTGATTAAATGATAAATTGTTATCATGAAAACGCTAATATAGTTAGTTAATATGTATGATTATAGATTCCCCATGTACAGAAATATGTATTATGTAAGCACTATATTAACACTCAAAATACACCGTAAAAACCCCTACAAATACTACGATTCTTACTTAAATAACACCTCAAACGTTATAGCAACGATTTAATTAGTTAAGTAACGTTTTAAATGTACGATTAAAGTATTATAAAATTATGTCACATAACTAACCTTGCCTGTATCACTTGGCCGACTCAAAAGTGACGAGTGCCGAAAAAATTGGTGTTAAACCAAAGAACTACAATTTTTCACACAAAAACGAACCTTATTCGTACTTAACATATAGGTTACCTAATTCATCTGTCAAAATTTTAAGTAGATGGCGCCCCAATCGTTTTATCGCGACTTGTAAAAATCTTGAAATTATGACTTCGCTGTATTATATCTCAAATTTAAAGAATTTTGGCAGACCATTGCAAAAATTAAGTATATTTGACAACGTCCAATATAAAACTTACCACAAATTCTGTAACTTATGTCAAAAAAGTGACTATAACCTTAAAAACGTACGTCATATAAACGCGGGATATTCAAAACGACTGTTTTCAAGTGAAATTGCAGAGAAAAAACACGTTAATGTGGGTACAATTGGGCACGTAGATCACGGCAAAACAACTTTAACTGCAGCTATAACAAAAACACTTCAGAAAGATGGTTTGGCAAAATTTGTTTCTTACGATGAGATTGATAGAGCTCCAGAGGAAAAAGCAAGAGGAATTACCATAAACGCAGCACATATAGGCTACAGTACAAAAAAAAGGCACTATGCTCATACAGACTGTCCTGGTCATGCAGATTATATTAAAAACATGATTTCCGGTGCTTCCCAAATGGATGGGGCTATTTTAGTAGTGGCTGCAACTGATGGGCAAATGCCACAAACAAGGGAACATTTATTGTTAGCTAAACAAGTTGGCATTACTAAAATTGTTGTTTATGTGAACAAAGCTGATTTGGTGGATACGGAGGTATGATTTTACTGTTTTAAAGGTTTTTTATTGTTTATAAACCTTAATAAATTAAGGTTTTAGAGCTTGTCGATTTAGAAATACGCGAGTTACTCGAAGATTTTGGGTTTGATGGTGTCAATGCTCCAGTCATATTTGGGTCTGCACTAGAGGCTTTAAATGGTAAAGATTCGGAATATGGGGTTAAATCCATACAAAAATTAATGGACACTATAGATTCCTACATACCAGACCCTCAAAGGGATTTAAAGTCACCATTTATGATTCCAATTGATAATATTTTTTCTGTGCCTGGTCGAGGAACTGTAGCAGTGGGAACTTTGTCTAGAGGCGTTTTAAAAAAGAATGCTGAGGCCGAATTATTAGGATTTGATAAAAAAATAACTACTACTGTAAATGATATACAAGTTTTCAAAAAAAGTGTTCCACAGGTAATTTTTGTTATTGTGTATTTAATATTGACCTCTATTTTATTATTTATTTTAGGCTTTTGCAGGTGACAATATAGGGGCCCTATTAAAAGGTGTGAAGCTCAAAGATATTCAAAGAGGAATGCTTTTATGTGCTGCTGGAAGTGAAAAAATAAGCAACCGTTTTAATGCTAGTATTTACTTTTTATCAAAAAATGAGGGTGGTAGATCTAAACCAGTGACTGGAAAATATTGTCAGCAACTTTTCAGTAGGACTTGGAATGTACCTTGCAGATTAGATATGGGTAAATACTATACTTATTACCAAATCATAATGTAATAAAAAACATAACAAAAAATTTTTTTAGTTGATAATATGGAAATGTTAATGCCAGGTGAACATGGTAAAGTATCCCTAACTTTACTTTGGAAAATGATTATGACATCTGGACAACAGTTTACCATAAGGGAAAATAATATAACTGTTGCAACTGGCATAATAACAGAAACATTGCCAGAAATACATATTGAAACCTCATTAGGAAAACTTGTTATTCAATAATTTTATAAATAAATAATATTTGTTAAGATAAAAATTGTTTTATTGTACAAAATAAGTTAAATAAAGGTACCTAGTTACAAATTTAAAAATGTCTTGCTGGTGCCAAATTCACCAAAAAGTTTGATCTGAAGTCAATTATTTTATTATTTTGTCTAATATTTGAGTCTTGCTGTATATTGTTGAACCATCTTGATACATGAATAAATTTTTCTTTCTCTAAATAAACCAAACTTTCCTAAAAAACACAAAATCCCATGTTATTAAAAAATCTATTAAATTCAATATATTTACCATTAAACCATGCAAAATATAATACAATAATACATCAGCAATGGTAATGTTGCCATAAGAAGCAATAAAAGTTCTTTCTGCCAACACAGAATTAAGTTCGGTTAAAATTTGTTGTATATTGTGGACACTGTTACATTGTACTGCATACACCATTGCATACTCAATCCATTGATAAATTTGTAGCTTCTCCAAATCGTCCTTACCAGCTAGATTCGATTTTGAAGCTGTTAAAAGCGTTGAAATAATGTTTAGAGTGCCAGAGAAGGTTTTGCCATTTATTGTGCAAGAGATAACCTAAAAATATTGCATTAAAATTGTGTTTTGAGGGTATTCTTAATGATATTCTAACTAATCCTGGTGCTTGTATTATGTTGCTGATAGGCACTTTAAGTAGTTTCGATACTTTTTGTAAAAACGGTGTAGTTGCAGACATTTTCGCAAAAATATGTACGATTTTTGAGATTTTCAGAATTCTAACCACAAATGTCAGATCCTTTTCAAAATTGCCAACTGTGAATCACAGTCTGTGATAGTGATTTCAGTGTTCTCAACAGGATAATAACAACATTTAAAATTCTTAAAAATAATTTATTTTTATACAGTTTTTTTCGAAAATCGATAAAAGCATTAATTCTTCGTCAAATTATTTATTTTCCCACTACAACGTATGGGTATTGGTATCCATAGTAATACGGATAGGCGTAGGGATAGGCAAAATATGCGCTTTCAGCACCCTCCATATCGGCTTCATGCTTAATTTCATCTTTTTTTGGTTCGGACACGGCTCTAGGGCCGGTCATTCCTGGATAAGGCCCTGGAAATGGACCTGGGGCTGGTCTTGGAAATGCATTTGCAATTACTGCCAATGCAATAACGAAGATTGCTACGATCTGAAAACAAATAAATAAGCACATGTGCACCCTGCAGGGTTGTTTCTGGAATTTTGAATAACTTTTTATTAATTGAAATAGGTACTTAGGTAGAATAGTGGTGTTATAATATATATTATGCAGATGGGTATAGTATTATCGAAAGTCGATTTTTCTGTTAAATTGAACGTAGGTAAAACAATTGTTTACATTGTTTACATTAATTAAGTAAGTAATGTAGTTTACCTATTATAGAGATAATCTATTTTATAATTTATTTCTCTTAATTTTATGAATATCTATAAAATATATTATTTATTGATATTAAAATATAGGTTTGATGGTTAAATATATTTTTCAATAAAATATTGAATATTATAGATTTTAAAAATATTTCACTTACCAAAAGTTTCATGTTTGTTGTAGAAAATTAAACTTCTTACTTAGAAAAAACCTTGATTTTCTCGTATTTATAGCTCATCTGTGTTAGGACGCGATGCACATTATTAAAAATCCTTTTAATTATAATTTTAAATTGCCTTATTATATTTTAAATTTCCCTTCACTCTATACGGTGACATGGCGATTTATTTAACTTTGATTTAACTTTGTATGTTTATTAATTAATACGTACCTATGTACATGGCTAATTAAAGGGAATTTAAATGCATTATATCTATAGAGATGTAAAAAGAATAAGAATAAAAAATTAAAAAACTTAAGTTTTTCGTTTTTCCCCAAAACCGCGCGGTTTATTATTGTAGCGCTATAGCGCTATATACAGTATACAGTAATTTGTAAAAAATAAATTATATTCTATCAATAATTAATTTTGCTATCTATATATATATATATATATATATATATATATATATAATAGGATTAAAGTATATACTTTAATCCTATTATACACGTACCTACCTAGTAGGTACTACCACTATACATATATATGTTAAAAATAATTTAGTCCAATTTTAACAATAACTTTAAGAACTGGAACAACCGTTTTGCTAAAATTTTAAATTTTGATTACCTTAAGTAGGTATATCTTAAAATCCCGAATTACGTGTGTTGTGGAAAACTAAATTTTCTAAAAAAAATGTATTTACTTTTTTATTAAGTCAATAGTTTACAAGTTTTAGCTAACATTTTTATATTTTACTGCTAAATTAAACTTTTTTGCGAAATAGGGGCGAAAACTATGCATAATTTGATTAATAAAATAACATGTGAAAACAAAACAGTAAAAAAAAAACTGAAAAAAAGGAATGTATTTTAAAGCAATAAAAAAATTCAATAATTTTTTTTAGGGTAATATTACCCAATATTGGGTGCGCTAATTCCAAAAAGGACCATAATTTTGCTCAATTATCCTTTGTTTCCGATATTGGGAAAAATAAGTATTTTTCGATATATCGCATATATACAGCTGTAGGGTGGTCCAGGTTATAGTAGCAATAATTCACCATTCGATAGTCCATCGAAAAATAAGTCGACATGCATGGTAATTTTTTTCTCCAAAACCCCTCCTAAGGGAGATACAGCCCTTCAAAGTTGAGTTTTAAAAATCTTTTTTTTGTCATAACTCTCAGGAAATAAAAGCGTTTTTGACCAAATTTGGTACAAGTACTTATGAAATAGGTACTCGTTACCTGACGTAAGTAACTTTTGTCAAAATTGTCCAGTGACGTAGATACAGGGGGGTTGTTTCACTTTTTCCACCCCATTTTTTACGCCACTGGATGTTGGTTTAAATTGACCTATTTTTCTAATTCCTTGTTCAATTTTGAGTTAAAAAGCCACTCTTGTCAAATTTTGATTTAAGGCTTTGTTTACGAGATAATTGAGTTTAAAAAAACATACAGTCCTGCAAAGTTCAGTTTTAAATATCTTTTTTTTGTCATAACTCTAAATCTAAGATCGCTAAAGCTTAATTTTCATGTATCCGTTTGTCCGTCATCCGTATGTCAGTTTTTCAATAAAATCGTCCGATAAGAAATGTTCTAATTTTCATGCATACGTTTTTTAATGACGTTTAACGGATTGATTTTGCGACAAATAGAAATTAAGTGTCAGTATATTCACTTACTAAATTTACCTAATGCTTAATTGTCATAGTTACAATTATGTCAACAATTGAAACTTTAACAGTTAGCTGTCTAATAAATTTAAAGGTAGGTAAATATACCTTATAAAAAGAATATACTAGCCCTAATATACATTAAAATGTATAGTTTTAAAAAAGCAGGTCATTTTAGTTCTAGTTTTAATTTTTTTTTGTTTATATATCCTTTCTTTTTTTTTCGTTATTCTTATTAAATAAAAACTTAACAGTAAAACATTATTCACATAACGAACGTAATATTTTCGTTTTACAATCTTATTGAAAAAATATAAAAATATTTGAAAATAAATTATCTTAAAATAACGTTAGGCGTCAAAAACATATGTTTAGTGACGGATGAGTAAAAATTATTTAACCTTTCTCCGTCAGACGTACGAAGTTGAAACTTGACGGACCGATAAAATGTCATAATTTTCGAATTATAATTGGACCAATAAGAGCGCTCCCGGATGAACGGACTGACGGACAAACGGATACATGAAAATTAAGCTTAAAGCGTTTTTCACCAACTTTGATACAAGTACTTATGAAGTAGATACTCGTTACTTGACCCAAGTAACTTTTGTCAAAATTGTCCATTGGCGTACATACAGGGGTTGTTTAACTTTTTCCGTCCAGGATTTCACTGAAAAATAACTCGACATGCATTGTTTTATTTTCTTCAAAACTTCCTCAGAAAAGACATAAAGTCCTTCAAAATTCAATTTTAAGATTTATCTTTTCGTATAAGAATATTTGATTAAATTTGGTATTTAAAATAGGTAATCAACACTTGACGTATTTTTAGTTAAAATTATCAAGTGGCATACTACTTTTAGAAATGGATCAATGTGATAATTATTGATTATGATAATTAAAAACGATACGTACTAAATAAATCATAATAACATTTTAATAACGAATTCAAACTTATCTAACATTTACAAATAAATTAATTTAACAATTGTTCAAAATTCGAACCGTTCTGCTGTATGCACAATTGGCTACGTCTAATGATGTTCTGGTTTAAGCTTAATAGCACATTGCGATTAATTTCTGCACACGCATTCTGGATTATTTGTAGAAGCTCTTCCCTTGTGGGCACAGGTGTGAAGGGCTTTATGTCTTTTCTGAGGAAGTTTTGAAGAAAATAAAACAATGCATGTCGAGTTATTTTTCAGTGAAATCCTGGGCGGAAAAAGTGAAACAACCCCTGTATGTACGCCAATGGACAATTTTGACAAAAGTTACTTGGGTCAAGTAACGAGTATCTACTTCATAAGTACTTGTATCAAAGTTGCTGAAAAACGCTTTAGCGATCTTAGAGTTAGAGTTATGACAAAAAAAAGATATTTAAAACTGAACTTTGCAGGACTGTATGTTTTTTTTAAACTCAATTATCTCGTAAACAAAGCCTTAAATTTGACAAGAGTGGCTTTTTTTCTCAAAATTGAACAAGGAATTAGAAAAATAGGTCAATTTAAACCAATATCCAGTGGCGTAAAAAATGGGGTGGAAAGAGTGAAACAACCCCCCTGTATCTACGTCACTGGACAATTTTGACAAAAGTTACTTACGTCAGGTAACGAGTACCTATTTCATAAGTACTTGTACCAAATTTGGTCAAAAACGCTTTTATTTCCTGAGAGTTATGACAAAAAAAAGATTCTTAAAACTCAACTTTGAAGGGCTGTATCTCCCTTAGGAGGGGTTTTGGAGAAAAAAATTACCATGCATGTCGACTTATTTTTCGATGGACTATCGAATGGTGAATTATTGCTACTATAACCTGGACCACCCTGTATATATACGAGCCTTGTCTCAGTGAAGTTGGCCCAACTATCAAAACTACGTTTTTTTATGAAATTTGTCATATTAGCGAAAACCTATTAAAAACTAAAATGTATTTCTGATAACGTACGAAATTTTTATTTAATATTAGCCTAAAATACTATTTTTTTTGTAACAGAGAAATAAATATTTTATAAATCCAAAAAAACCGCCCATTAATAAAAATCAACAAAATCAAATAGCAGCAAATCACCACTGCGTTACATCGCCTTTTCGACTAATTACTGCCTCGATACGTCTTGGCATAGTGTCAACTAATGTTTGGCAGTCATCTGGTGTTAAACGGTTCCAAATTTCTTGAAGACGGGTTCGCAATTCTGGAACGGTTCTTGCGGGATTCGATCGGAGATTTTTCTTCATGATTTGCCACAAGGTTTCAATCGGCGATAGATCCGGACTACTTGACGTCCATTTTAAAACTGGAATATTGTTTTCTAACATCCTATCTTTTACTTTTTTAGCCGTATCGCAAGCTGCACCATCTTGTTGAAAGATACATTCAATATTGTTCAAGCGCATTTGTTCAATTTGGGGTTTTAAGTTATTTTGAAGCACATTAATTTACTTATCAGCATTCATAATACCTTCCACAAAGTGTAAGTTTCCCACTCCACTTGCTGACATGGATCCCCAAACCATAGCAGACGCCGGAAACTTAACTTTTTTTTTAAGACAGCCATTCTGAAACACTTCTTCTTTAGTTCTTATGACACGGCTCCTACTATCACCAACA